AGGGGAGGGGCAACTCCATCCCTGAACAAGTGATTTCAAAAGTTGGCATAGATGATGGCAAGTGTTTGGGCTTCAATCTCGTGCCGTCGTTTTGGTGTATATGTTTTGGTTTGGATATATGAGCCCCTAATTACAGATTTTCATTACACATTATTATCATTTTGCTTTATTAACGATAAAATCTGAAATAAGGCTTTTACAGGCTTTTTAGGTACTGACCGCTGTCATTAAAGTGGCGTAGGAACGGTGTTCGTGGGTGCTCTGGTATAGGAGAAATTTAACAAACCAAAATCACAATTGCAATTTTGACGTCGTCCATATGTGTAAATGCTAAGGAATAAAGTGAGTGAGCATTGAAGATTAATCTTTTATCCTAAAAAACTATGTAAGAAACTAAATAAGATTTTTTTTTTGGCTAACCCACAGTACCCTCTACCAGGGCGGCAGATTGATTTTCCAACAGATATGTCTCTAGATAAATAGACAGTCATAATGGTCTGGATTTTTCCGATTTTCCCTATATAATCTGTCACCCCGGTAGAGGGTACCCACACAGTAGGCCTACCCTTAAAATAGTATAACTTTAGTAAGTGTTCTCTCAAAACGCTAGTTATTAAACGCATCCATCTTTAGATATTATCTACTCAAAATCCATAATTCAATGGTATTAAATTCTACTTTATGACTAGCAAGGGTCTATGCCTTCAGTGATATGCACGCGGCGTTCAATTATAAAAAAGGCAAAGTCAAATGGCGGAATGAAGTTCCACATGAAAATCTCAAAGAAAAGTTGACAAGTAAGTCCACTTGTGCACGCTGGCATTCTAAAAGAACCCGCCCTACTTTTTGCATCAAAACGCAGGTTCTACAAGAAATACCAATAAATCTTCCTAAATACCCAGAATATGGGTATTACATGACCGGTAGACCTACATTCCCCGCAGTGACACCCCAATTCCGATTTATACATGCATATAAAGTTGTGATACACAGAACTTACAAAATATCACTATCCTCAGCAGTTTCTCACTTTTCCCAACCGCATTCTTAGCTTTACACTTATGATACCCAAAATCGTCCAGTTGTAGGTTAGAAATGTTGATCGTCTGCGCGGTGCCGTTCAGCGATGACGTCACAGTGGTGGCAGATGTGAAGCCATCTTGGTCCCAAGCTACCATCGGCATTTGTAAACCCGTGACGGAACAGTTGACGGTCACGTTGGCAGATTGGTTGGCGTATATGGTGTCTGATGATAATGTTATGTTTGGAATAACTGAAACAGAAGACAGCAAGTTATAGATGTAGGCCCCCTACTAGCATTTCAAACCATGTGAGGGTTACGAGAAGAGATTATCACTTTGCATATTATCTTTATTGGGACGAGATTAGTAGCTTAAAATACTGAAAACTATCAGTTTCGAGAAGCTTCGATCATGCAATTTCTGCGAGCATATTAACCCCCTCTGTATAAATCTGTTCGTCTAAATCTTTCGTTGTTGTCTCACCACAGGATTGATTCCTAAGCGCCACTGTCAACGGTGTGACGGTCCCGTCCTCTTCCGCACACGTGAGAGAGCCGCGCTTCATTCCATGGTTAAGATGCGGGAGGAGCATCCACATTGAGCTGCAGTTACAACTAAACGGGTTGCCGTCCACCTTGCTGGAATGGCCAATGCATAAAACAATGCTGATTGCTTCAAATGAAGTAAAGCTGTCAATACTAAAACCATTCCTATTTACTGATTTTTGTAATAATCTCTCAAGAGGGTAGCCATCTATGGAGGTCACGTGGTCCGATGGCAAGCACAGATTCAAGAATGATTGCGATAACCGCCGTTTTGGTTTAATATATTTTTATGATTTGTTTACAATGTATTTATTGTGAAATATGGATCTCATACGATGAGTTGTTATCCCTTGTTATAATAAAACTGCTAAAATGAAACTGCTAAAAAGTTGTTATCAGTTTCATTATGTGCATTTCTTTTGAAGCAAAATGCCATAAAACGAGAACTTACAGATCAGTTATGTTGAGCATTTCGAAGACCTCCCATGACAAGACTCTTATCTTATTGTGTCGTAGATCTCTGGAACGAAAGTTAACAAACCATTCTACAGTGTGATCTGTAACGGTATCGACATTTCTCGAGGTGAGAACTTGAGATATTATTTTTGCTTTTTTATCTACTAGTTATTGAGAATGTATAAGCAAAATACCCTTCTAAAACAGCTGAAATCAGATTGGGAACAAGTTCTCAATGCCTATACTACATGTACATTGCCAAAACAGAGATTTCGTCATTACCCGTAAACTCATATCAACTCTGGTTATTTATAATTTTTGTTTCCATACGAATATTTAATAAGCTTGTTTCAAGAAGCAATGATTTAAAAGCAGACCTTGAAACCTTTATTTCAGTACGCTAATAAAGTATTGCTTTAAGTCGAAACATAACTGCGTTGGCAATGCCATTGCTTTGTATGGATAGTCAGCAATTAGAACCCCTCTGATGCCCCCCCCCTTGACCCCCCTGAAACCCATGAACCCCCCCCCTCCTCCCCATCATCCCGTTCAATTCTGACTATCGTAAAATCAAATTGCCTTATTTCCTATGGGCGATTATCATGTAAAATCGTTTTATAGGGAAAAGTCGATATCTGTTGTGGATTCTAAGATGCTTCAGGAGAATTTCCAAAATTAAATACCCAGTATTGCACATTCAGTATCCAACTAATGTCACAAACGTTTTGCAGATATGGCATTTCACTCGAGACGTGTTATAACAGCAATCAAAATTGTTTACTTTATATTTTATACTGAGGTAGATCTAACTCGTGGAAATATAGAAAATAACTGACAATATCCCTTGACTGTCGCAGGAGCTACAGAGGCATTGCAAACTAAATATAAATAAAGAAAGAAAGAAGTAAAAAGAAATCCAAAACTATAGATCGCCTGCTTCAACTGGTTCTTCATATCATTGCATACATGTACATGACCAGAGAAATGCCTCGTCTCCATACAGCCCAGCAGTGTGAGGGTGAAATTAAATATTTCCATCGATAATCATAAGACGAATAGGCAAGCGAAATCAAACCTTCATTAGCTTCCTTCACTATTGATGCGTTCTGGCAGGCGTTCGTGTAAATCACATCTCGTCAATAAATCAGTGAAAATTAATGAGAGAAAACTTCCGCAAAGAGCTCGAGATAGGGCAGCAAAACATTGTTGTAGAGTTAATGCAAACGGTTTGATAACTTGCCATAAGTCACTGAATTGATTCTTGTAGGTAATTCAAAGGTGGTTCCCAGCCACACTATCTGGCATATCTGAAAACCTCCGCATTGAAAATGCAAATAACCGTTGTTTAGCTTTGAATAACCATATAGAAACCGTTTTCCCATAAGTTGTAATATCTCACTGAAGGGTATTGTTGTCATTATCGGCTGCACGCCAAGTGCAAATTGGCAACTCAGTCAAGGGCAAAGACAGTATGAGGATGGGATGCACAATGTTGAAAACCGGGATTTGTAAAGTTCACTCTCTTGTGTCTTAGACCCCATTTCCAGAGATTAGATCGATCTACTTTAGATCGACCTAACTCCCTGGGGGTTCACGCTAAATAGCTGTCAGCCGAGCGGACACGAAAGTTAATTACCCCCTTACACCTTGTAGGCGGGACGGACATTTAAGCCGGATTATCTGACAGTAATCTAGTGAGACTCCCGCGGGGATAGATCGATCTAAAAGCTCTGGGAATACAGCCTTAATGTCAATTTGGGCCTCTTTATCATATTCATTAAAGCGCAAGATGTAACGCTAATTTAATGAATTTGTAGAACATAGTGTGAACATCCAGATAAGTGCGGTTGGTTCATACCGTGGATTTCAGTTTCATCACGCAATCATTGCCTTATAATGTATCAGTTTTCAAGAGAATCCATACTTACATATTCTTTAAGTGTCGATTCCTCTCAAACGCCTGCACATGTACCTTCGTTAGGTCGGTGTTCTTAATGCTTCTACAAAAGAAAATCCCCCAGCTTTCGTTAACGGTCTGAGGTTCGGTGCAATTGAAATGTATCTTGAAATAACACCAAACAAACAAAGTAAAAAATCTGTTAAAATGGCGGATCCAGGGAGGCGGGTAGAGCGGGCCACGTGCCCCCCCCCCCCCTATCCGATGTGTTCTCTTTCTTTCACTCCGTTGTGCAAGCGAAGTAAAAACCAAAACATTTCCCCTCACCGTACCATTCATATCATTTTAAAAATTTTCTCGTCAACTATGTTATATTAACCGAGAAAAGTGAGGCAAACATGCATGTAAGCCACAGCGTTATTGTCTAGTATCTTACCATGTTTTGGTCGTTTGGGAAATGGATGTTCTATATTAGAGGTTTGTAATTGAAAGTATCCTGTCGTACGGAATTATAATATGGTATAGCGGAACAACTGGGAGGAAAAACTGCAAGCAAGCTTATCGGGCAGGATCTCCCCAAGCTGGATGATATTTTAAAGACATAATGGAAGGAAGAACTGCTAACATCAAGGAAGACTGTTCGCATCCTGCATTATCACTTTTTACGTTTTTACCAACCAATAGTAGATAAACAGGTTTTATCCAAGTGCAGTGACACATTTTAATTTGAACTCAAAACCAAATTCTTAATCTATCTATTGTATTACTATATTATCAAACTTGCTCCAAAAGCAAAATGATTTACGATTTTTATAATTGGCTAAATAAACTCTTATCTTATCTTATCTTATCTTATCTTATCTTACAAACTATATTATATCTAACTTACAGAAACGTCAAATTTGGAAGGAGAGACAGGGAATTCTTTGCCAGTTCAGAAAGGTTTCGTTGGTCTGCGATGTATCTGAAATTCAAGAAAGAGAGACAATTGTTTAAACTCGAATTGGGATAACACATGCAACATTTCTGAACAATATTACAAATTACAACAAGACCCTCAATTTTATCCAGAATAACTGATGTTAACTCAACAATCAAATCTGTTGGTCTGAATGTTCCTGCTTAAGTCTTTAGAACTGTTGTATCATTTCAGTTTTGACGTTTTTTAAAAGAATTATTATCTTACATGTATATACCTGTGCATTATATGTATTATAATGGAGGGCACTATATAAGAAATAAGAAATGCGGTGTGTGTGTGTGTGTGTGTGTGTGTGTGTGTGTGCGTGCTCGCGCGTGTGTGACAGAAAAGTCCATCAAGCAGCGGCATTCTATAGTAAAGACAAAAGCGTTTTCTTTCAAACAATCTGAACTCAATGGGTTTCCTGTTCGAATTGGAGATAAATACTAAAATGATGCATCACACGACTAGATTAGCATGGATCAAATCTCACTGTCATTACGTTCGCACAACACGCAGACGCCGCGGGAGCTTAGGGCATCTGTTGAAAGAAACAACAGTACAAAGAAACAGTTGACATAAAAGAAGGGCAGAGGTCTCTCAATTTCATGCATTTAAGACAAATGCAGACGTCTCTCACTTACATTCATTTCAGACAAGTATAAGCCATAACACCGCCATGAAACTCTGGTCTTCATGTTTTTTTTTATTTCAACGTGACAAACAAAACATATGTTTCATAACACCTTTATTATTTTTCATCAGGCAATAGCAAGAAGTGTTATTTCAAAAGACTAATATGATTTTAGAGAAAAGTACGACTGTGGCTGTTAAATAAATGCCCCACTTTGGCGCAATTTTATTACAAGAACATTTTGGTCAGTTCATTGCTGGTACCAGTGTGGAACCAATGACAATTGATTCTCACGTTGCAGGCTTTCTGCAAAATGTCCAATAAATGTTTAGGTGTGTTCCCCAAGACCATTTTATATCCTCGCACTTCTCATCCATCTTGTACTTGTCACTTAAATACCAAAAACAAATGACACTCAACCAAACCAATCACACCAATGAACCAAATCAATGGTATTGAGTAATTTTGTTGCACGAGTTCCAGTAATGTGCCGACTGAGTGTTAACCTTATTGGTGTAGTCTATTCCCGCCAGGATCGTTACATTTGATTTTGTTTGAACGCACGAGCATTGCTGTATCAGAGATAGAGATGATGGTAGCAATTTTCCTTTCAAATCTCTGTCTTCACAAGCTAGGGCTTTGACATAATTCAATGCGTGTAATTCGTTCACCCATGTGGCAAAATGCTGGCGTTATGAACTTCTGGCCGTTGATTATGTTCATGCCATGCTGTCACAGGTGGTGGCAAGTAGAAACCATTTTCCTAAGGCAACTGAAATATTAAACTCGTGGTGACTTTAGGTAAGATTTGAGAACGGATACAAGGGAGAAATTTGAATAAACTGGGTGGGAACCATTTTCAAAATTTAATTTATCAAAGCTGTATATTTCAAGTCCACATTAGACAATTCGGTTTAAAGGATGGAATAGGCAAACAATTCAATATGTATACATGTGTGTGTGTGTGTTTTGCTTTTTCAAGCTGAATGTAAAAAACGATCAAAACGTTTAACCATCATTCGACTTTCGATCAATATCTCAATAATGCATGTAATACAAGGTATCCCATGGCCATTGAAATCTCAACAATGCTCTCCGAACCATATGGGGGAATATGAATATGGGGAATAAAAAGGCTGTATTAGCAAATGATTCGTGAAAGTAGACCTATTAATTTCATATTCAATGTCAAAAAAGACCAATCAATTATGTTTTTTCAGAGAACGGAGTAGAAATCATGGCGTCTACTATTCTCAAATATTCAATTACGGAGGAAGCCCCGACATTTTTTTTTTTTTTTACAAAATCACCCTCACCATGCAGAAAAGCCTTACATTTGAGTGTTTGCTTCATAAAATATCTTTTACTAAAAGTTTTGTTCCGATTAAATTTCATGATAAACTCATAACCTCAATTTTCTTACAGTATCATTTTTTTCTTCAGGGGTATCTTATCCCTCAGAATAATCATATCTACATTGCACATATATAAAAAGACCCACCAACGTTATTTCGTCATTTTCATCGAGTTTAGATTTTATCAAGAAAAAACGTAAAATTATACATAGTCTTTCTTCAATGGTTTTCTTCGGATGGGGATTATATCTCTATAGCAAAAAATGTTAATCGAAAAACGTATTTTTTTGTTATGTTTTTCACATGTTCCTAGACGATCACTGAAAATTTAAAGGTCGTATCACTTATGGTTAACAAATAAAGCTTAAAACCAATTCTTATCCTTTCCCTATTTAAAAAAGTAAAAGACGCCCATGAAAGCTTTGGTGCGGTACCCAGACGCTTCAGTCAGCTCAGCTTGCTCAGATGCTCTCTCTCTCTCTCTCTCTCCTATACAGCACACCCGTACACCAACTTAGGGTTTTTCGTAATATTTCGCAGACTGTACACGTGCCTCCATTGTATCTTTATCTTTCATTCAATAATGAAAAATAAAACTTCAAGTCATATTTACAATTGACTTTATACCCTGCTATGAATATGTCATTGATGTGTTTATTTGACTTTAAAAAATCATGTTAAACAATATAAAACGAGATGACATAGATTACTTTTTTTTAATTTAAGATAACCCCACAACACATGTACTGAGTACTTACAGTTTTGTAACGTATGTTAATGGCGGACCCGTTGTCGGTATCGATGTTAAACTATTCGGTTCCCTACAGTCCACAGTGGTATCCAGACACTTGCACAGATCGCATATAGAGCCCTCGTATTCAAAACTCCTTGATATCATGAACGAAATGAAAATTACAACCATTAAAATTGAATAAGTCCTAGGCGGAGTTGGTCTTGATATCAACATAGTGAAGCTGTCAGTGTTCAGAGTTCTTTGCCGTTACCCAGTAGAGGGGTGGTGCGCAATCCACATATTAACATCCCTGTATCATGTGCAGCGACGTTGAGTCGAAAATTTGATTTAATATAAAAGAGTCACCGTTTTTCCGTAGGTGTCTTTTTTACACCAGCGCAACCAGCCTCCTGTTGTCAACAGTGGACCTCTCCAAACGCAGAGGACGCTTTACCAATAACATAGCAGAGGCAGTAGAGCCAGCTTGGCCAGTTCAATCAGCAGGCGGCATCATAGGTAGCGTAGAAAAATTGTGATTTCGAAGCTGTGATGCAAGTCTTACAGTGACAGTGATTTTTCATTACTGATAAAAACACCATTTAGTTTAATTTGAGAGGACTTTGCCTGCAGAAAAATGTAAGCCAGGTTTGCATTTCTAATATATACCACGGATTACAATTAATTAAGACGTAGGTTGGAAAGCGTGATTACACTTGGTCATATAGGTCTTGTTACTTCCCTGGAACAATTATCAGGACTTATTTTCCTCCGAGAATTGTTAATATTATAATCACCTTTGGTCTTGTTAATATCGTCCGTAGAGAAAAAAAGGACAGGCACGTTCAAATGAAAATCATTCCTCAAAAGTTGGACGTCCAGTGACTGCCTTACTGTTTCCACGGCTAACGATCCCACCCATGGGGTGAAGGAATCTTAACGTTTCGCTGTCTCTAGGTCTATGGTACGTGTAACAAGTATCCCAAATAATATGACAACAGCATTGTTGACAGATTGTGTTAGTGGTAAAATTTTGACAAAAAAAACGTGAAGGTGAAAACTTGACGGATCATATCCTTGTTTGTTAATAATTTTACTTTGTAAAAGCCTGAAACGGAGGCAAATGAAAGGACCTAGTTCCAAAATGTTTATATTTTTTTTCAAAAGTGAAAAAGTGTATGACGTCAGAAACTGAGTGCACCGTGTTACGTGGGCAGAAAATTAACGGTGATACTCGGAACGCTGGATTCCGCATTCCCGTTAATGACAACTATGGTTTTTGTATTCGGCGCCACAGGTGTTACAAAAGATTTAAAAAAAAACATAATAGAACTCTTGTAGCAGGATGACACCCTGCCCCAGCACTGCTTTATTTTGTGACTGATCTCATAATTTTAGACAAGCAGACATATGGCAATTGATCGAGTGATTGGTATATATTACGTAGTCTTAACTAGAAGAAAACGAGTCATTAAATGTACATTATGATCACTTTTATTATATTATCTATGCTCTGTTAAGGTACGCGTTGCATGGTGTGGCAATGGAGGTTTTCTTTTTTGTTTTCAACACAGAATTCTAGATGCGATAATAACTTGGGTGTTATTACCAAGGCTAAGCGCGTCTATTTGTGCATTTCTTTGGGTTGAAAAATAATATTTTAATTGGCATTTCTAAACCATATTACCGAATTTCGCCATTGAAATAAGGTAAAACCATTGGATGCCATATTGAATCTCAACTCACATAACAAGAAAATCCCCAAAAGAGGGAACCGGAATTAAGTCATCCCGCAGGCATGTCAACAGTACTGTATTCTGTACAGGTGAAACGAAACTGAGGGTCCGTGTAACAAAAAGTTCTTCCTCCATATACATGTAGTTATAATGGTTAGGGTTAGTCTGACCAAAGTGGGTCAAAATCTAGGGCAAGGGTTACCTGTGCAAATGAATGGGAGGCGGACTTTCTGTCATGGGGACTCTCTGTCACGTTACACCGGACACAAACGGGACGGAACACGGGGCACTATGGAAGAAAAAGGCAAAGACGTGAAGATAAGATAAAGTCACATACGACTGAATTATCCGCCTTGGTGTGCAGTGCTGTGTTATATAAATATCAAGGACACAGTAGAAAGGATACAGTAGCAACGACATATTTATATAAGTACTTTAGTTTTTTTCAGTTTTTGGACCAGTCCACCAAACAATGTGCGGTGACAAGAGCAGACATTAGTGAGACGTTAGGGAATAAACATAGCAAAAACCAACTGCCAGAATTGAGCGTATTATAAAAATACTGCAAAAATTAAGCCATCCTCAAAGGTGCGNGCAAGCCTCAAAAAATCTAGTAAACTCAGTACCGAACAACCTTGCCTCAAATTTTACTGCTATCGAACGGGAAGAAATAAAACCAAATAACTTTATTAAGCGATACGGTGAAAATTAAATTAAACAAATGAATAAAAAGCCGATTCACCTCTTATTACAGGGGTTACCAAGAAGTAAGCAGACTGTAAACATGGAGCATTATCCAAATAAAAACATCATGTTAGAAGTTGAGAAATTGCTCAACCAGAAGAGAAATCTCAGGTTTTTCCTTTAATGGCCTTCACACAGAAGAGTGGAAGCGAGCGTGTGAAATACACGTAAAACAACGCTCAACGAGAACAATGTTAGATTGAGATTAACACTTAATTAAATATTTTTCGAGGTTTTCTTGTTACCATGACCACTGCACTTGACGCTAACAGCATTACCGATAACTACTGGTGTTTATCATATAATGATAGTATCAAACTGCCCAAGAGCAATCAGATAATATTGGTTTATAATTTTTATTCAGTTAATCTATTCAGAAACAAAGAAATGTAATAAATTTAAAAAGGCATTGTATCCTTTAAAACGCATTCCTAAAATACTATTCGATGAAAAAATTGATAAGAAGTGACAACTCCGTCTCTCCCCAGTCTCCATACAGTGTGACCATTGTGTGAGAGATCACCAGTCCATGTTGTCATTTTGATGAAAGCTGTATGTCACAGCAGGAATGATTTCAAAGCTTTTCATTATACAGCACCAAGACTTTCATAAGACCCAGCATTGGCGTCTCACTTCACGGACTTGAGCTCCACCTCAAATGTCAGCGTGCTGTTGGGGGGGATTGGTCCTGTGTTGTGGGCACCATAGCTGTGATAGTAAATAAAATATCTCACATACAGAAACTCAGCTTTGGTTAATGAATACAATATATACAGCATTCTTCAAATGAAGTGGCTTGCATCAATAAATGACTATAAAATAATCTTTGGGCTAATTTTATCATTTCATTAAAAAAAAAAATTTATATATATATATATATATATATATATATATATATATATATATATATATATATTCTCTTGGTTACCTACCCTTGAGATGGGGGTACGATCAGTTTCCTTTTACCTCCTACTCTCATACCTGTATAATAAACATAGTCAAAAGTAAAAAAAATGACACTTACAGATTATTTTTAAATTGTACTCCTCTGCTGAAGTTAAACAAAGCCAGTGCCAGTGAGTACATATCATTCTGATATTTCACCAGTAAGAAAGCATAACAAATTCATAATGTAAAACAAACTGATCTCTCACCTGCTACGCCAGTGTCCCAGCCCTTTATTACATTTCCCTTGCCGAGGCGAAATTTGAAAGGTCGACCACTTAGATGAGCATCAAACTGTTTTCCATTTGAAAGGGTTCCTTTATAGTAAACAAAAACCTAAAATGTGAAAAGATTATTGTTAGCTAAAACAGTTCATGAATTCAGTGGAACAAAAGGAATGGCAAATGAGAAAATTGCTCTTCCAAAGTAAAACAGTACATATTAAGGTCCTCAGATGTGTAAGGCATCACTGTAGAGACAGAGACAGCTGTTCATACTCTGGTGAAGGGACATCCTGGTTCCAGTGAACAACTCACATAATAGTGGACAGGGAGGACATATAAGACATAAAACTTACCATTTTCCCCTGAGTAGCCTCTGGCCCATGCCCCAGCTTTAAATCTTGTATAAAAGTTCCACCAGATAATGTCTTCTTCTCAAGTTTTGGGGTGCTCTGAAAATTGAAAAGTCATGCCTGCATATTACAGCTTCAGTAACTTACAGATCATGAGCCTCTAATAAAACATTTCTGATCAATTCTAAAATGAAAATAATTCAAATCCAATAATCTTATTCATTTACAACATGTTTATTTAACTAAAAAAGTCTTATGTATCTTGATATACACTTGACTCTACTGTAAGCCGTGACTGGAACTTGATACCTTTGTGGGTTTTGCTTCTTTTGCCGCAGGAGTACCTCCATTCTGCTGTACTTTGTTATCCAGAGATTCTTTTTCATCTTTATTTTTCTGTGTCTTCTTCTTCTTTGAGCTTTGACTATTTGTCTGAGAGTTCCTGTCTTTTGGTGTATTTTGCTCATTTGGTTGCTGGTTTTTCTTCTCTTTATTTTTCTTGGCACTCTGTTTTGATTTATTTACGACTTTTTCATAGCTTCCAGTAGAATCTGCATCAGAGTCTTCCTCCTCGTGGTCCACTGTGATGTCTGGGTTGGTCAGGATATTCTCAGAATCTGCAGACATCAAAACAGTTTTACTGCTGGTCATATGTTGTCATATGGACTGGCTCACACACACACACACACACACACACACACACACACATCAAAACCGATAGAACCAATACAAATCATTCATTGTTTCTCTCTGTGCATTAATTGCAGAAGCAACCTTTCTGCAGGTCTTACTGTTCTTAATGCTAGCTGAAAGAGGCACTGTACACTGTGCTTCAACTGAGTATTTCCACATCATTATATTATGACAGCCAAGCAAGTGCCTGATGACCAATTTAGGGTGTCAAATGGGATAAATTGCTTGTTAAGTGTATCCTTTAGATAGACTAGGATTGGGATAAATATTAGGCACCTGTGCTCATTGATACCTCGTCATTAATCTTACTTACATTATAAATACTTTGTGATTCTATGGAAAGTTGCAGACTTGACCAACCGAATTGTGGGTGGCATTTTGTACGTTACTTGTACATAGTTTGTTATGTAGAGACCAAGCAGCATCCTAGTTACAAGTAGAACATACTCACCATCACTGTCTTCTTCTTCTTCTTCTTCTTCATCATCTTCCTCATCTTCTGCAACAGACTGAAATAATAACCCGACAACTAACAATTTGACGCCAAAATGAATAGAAGTTATGGTGTTAGTTATGTAGCATATCTTTTACCTAGACCCGAGGGGGGGTCATTGAGAACTGTGCAGTATATAGAAGGTAGTATTAAATTACAGATTCCTTTTTTCTTTAGCAAAATTACCAGGGGCACAACTACTTGTTAAAATTAAGAAGATGGCTGTGATAATAACATTTTAAAGGCAATTCTAAAAATATGTTCCTATTTTTTTTCAATTTTACATGAATACAGAGATAAAAATAAGGAACATACAGGTAATCTTAAAACTTGATGCATATGGCATCAGGGCCTCTACACCTTTTTTTTAAATACCTGTGTAGCTTTTTGAAAATCATAAGATTTTTTTAAAAATCATATAAAAAAACGAAGGTGTAAGTAACATTCCATTACTACTGACTGAAAACTTCCCAATGAGATTGGTGATCAAACTAATGCCAGAATACTATCTTTGCTATGGGGAGCTAAGTAATCAAAACTTTTAATGGAGAACAAATATTTCTACACCCATTTCAAGAATTTATGCTAACATTTACCATGGTCCACTTGTTTGCATCAAACAAAAACCTTGAATTGTTTATATGTACCTGAGACTTTGGAATAACTATCAGGCACTGAAAACTAAATTTCTTCATCAAACAGATAATTACATCACTGTCTTCCCCAGCCTCCTCTGCCTCCTCCTCCTCCTCACTACTGCTCTCCTCCTCAGCTTCAGATTCCTCCTCCTCTTCCTCATCCTCCTCTTCTGACAAGGACACTTTCTGCTTCTTGGCTGCCTTTTTCTTTACCTTACTACTTGACTCTTGTTGTTTCTTTTTCCTTTTCCCTGAAAATTGTATAGGAATATGAGACTATTGTATAAGGATTAGTTACAATTTGTTTTTTGTCATTAATGTTTCTTAACTTATTTACCAATATCATTCTGTAGAAATGTACTGTGAGAATAAAAACAACTTTATCTATTTACCTATTTTATAAATGTGAACAAAACAGAAATTGTGCCATTTGTGGGGAAACATCAGACAGTGATCTTCACTGCTACTGAAGGGTGATACTGACTATATGAAACTTTAATCTAACATCTTGTGAACATAACTAAAATTAATCCCTGAAAAGTGATTAAGGTTGATTTTTCAAAACTTCTTCCTTGAGGGTCAAGATCAACTTCACACTTGCAATCTATTAAAGTAGTTTATACAAACACTTTTTCGGTATCATTCACTTCATTGAAGAATTTCAAAATAAGTTTATTCCAGTGAAACTGATACAAACTTGCAAAAATATCTAGAAAAACTGAAATAAAATCAAATCCCCTAAGAAAATTTTGTTTCATTTAACATTAACTTACAGTTCTCAGTCTATTCTAGAACATTCGTTGTATTTTTTTTTAGATCTAATGTTGTTCTGTAATGAATACAACAGTTTGAGAACTATTTTTGGGAAGTCCTTCAGAATGTCCTAAAACAGATTATGAATTTTTTTTTCTTAAAACAGAAAAACATTATGTTCCAGGACAGATTGAGAACCGTAAGTGAGCATTAAATGACAAAAATTTTCACAGGGGATTGTGCCACCCACCTGTTTGAGGAGTCCATTCCTCCCCTTCTTCATCCTCCTCTTCATCCTCCATATCAGATTCTGTCAGTGCTTGTAATGTGGGAACCTCCTCTGGAAACAGTAGTGGACAGAGTTTTAAACCACAACATATCCTTAAGTAAATTATCACTCATATGTGTTAAAAACTTATCAGTTTACAGCATCAGTAGTGCTTTTATTTGATGATTACTGTTTGTCAAGTTAGACCATCGTTTGCAAAGTAGAGCAAGCTGATCATTGTTACTTTAAATATTGGATACAGATTCAATGGTAATCAATGGGAGCATTCACATTGAGAAGAGCCGAGGTCTAATAAGGCAGCAACCTAAATATGGCAGACCTACATGAAAGGGAAACCGCTTAATCCTATAATGGTCTCTCCGCCTATCACACAGCTACCCACGCGTCATCCCTTGACCGGTTGAATGGAGCCGAGATTTAATAAGTGTGCCCCTGCAGTGACGCCGCGCGGAGAGGCTTGTGAGAGGCAGAGAGACCATTAATGGATTAAGCGGTTTCCCTTTCATGTAGGTCTGTCATATTTAGGTTGCGGCCTTACTAGACATTGGCTTTTCTCGATGTGAATTCTCCCTATAGTTTCAAATCTTAACATGTGCAGCTCATTTGTAAGACCATACTTTACTAGATAACATTTTAGTAACTCCTTTTTAAAGATGTTACATAACATCTTGATATGCAGCGGAGTACAAAAAATCACTCCGTCCCTTTTTATCTTTACCCTCAGAATCCACAGACTCCTCATCACTGGAGCTCTCAACTAGACCCATAGCTTCATCATCATCATCATATTTTTCATCTTCTACTAAGTAGCCAGTTAAGTGAACCACACCTGAAAATATCACATACGATTACGTTTCAATTTTTAAATGCATTTTAAACAATAATAGTAATTAAGCAATCATAATATAATGTAGCAGCAGTGGGTCCAAGTGAGTGCCATACCCAACCCACACATCAATTTTCTTTACTTTTCTTTACCAACAATTTGTTAAAATAATTAAGCAATGACAAAAAAATGCTTTATGTACCCAAAGTAAATTTCAGCCATATGCTTAAAATATCCTACTGTGGCTACAGACAAGGTAAGAAATTTCTGATAAGAAATTTTGATAAGAAAAGTATCCATGAGCATGCCAAGTTACCAGTTTGCCCTTTTCACCACACCCTTACTCTCCTTAGCAAAACCCTGGTTCCACCAGTGATGAGAAGTTTTTTTTTTAAATATTATGTGCACCCGTATCTCCCAATGAAGCATTTCAAGTTTATTTTAAAATGGTGTAACATTTCTAGTGCTGAAATTTCAACCACAGCTAGGGACAAACATCGGTAGTGCTCAACTGTATCAAATGCACTAAGGTCTTTCGAAAATGTAAGGCGTGAGAAAATGAGGGTAGCAAGAGAGCATAGGTTCACAATATTACCCATGCTTGTTGGTCCCAATATAGGCTCACAATGCCAGATACACCAAAGGCATTACAAATTGGGAATTTGACTTTTTCGCCATATGAGTTCTCATAAACACCAGCAGCTCAGTCTTCCTCAAATTGGGGGACAACCATTACCTGCCAATATCACAAACAAGTTGACTTAGTACTGATGGGTCATCATGAATGCCCTACCATTTCCATTGAGAAAGAAAGTCACTTCTTCGCCTTCGGTGAAGTTGAGGTCCAGGGACTGCTGGTAGGTGTGTTTGTGATCTAAAGTACACAACAGGAACTCTGCCTTTTCATGCTGAATCATCACTGACACTTTGGGATTTTTGTCTCCTGGAAATAGATCAGTTATTGGTCTAAAAAGTAATGCAATTTTTTCTTCCATGAGAAGATATCTTAAAAGTGAAATGGTCCACAAATTATCTTAACTTTTGTCTTACTGATTTCACTGAAGTAATCTCCACATAATGGTAAGAATAACAAAATGCTAAATGCTAAGCATTTGACATACCCAGTGTATTTAGTACAAGATGTTTAAACTGTTTAGGAAGTATAAACTCTAATAAAACTAGAATCTAGACAATAACGACATTGACAAAAATAACGACATTAACAAAAATAAAGACATTAACAAAAAAAGTTCTGATACATGTTCATACCTTGTGTTATTATTTCTGCAGTAGAAGCAGGTTCTAAAGCTGCCATGGATATGTGAAAGGAATGTTCCACCGTCTGGGAGTAGCATTTACCTCCGTCTAATATAACACCTGGATTTAAATATTAACAATAAGTAATTATATAAAATATGGCAATGAAAGGCTTCATGCTAGTTCTACGGCAGTGTATTTGATATTGATAACTAAGGTTAAAACTTAATGAAAATTTATTTCTTATGGTAATTCTTGTCACCCTTTAGTATATGAGCTGCTGTAAGCCTCATAACTGTTGTGTTCAGAATCACAACATCTCCTCACTAGTTTAATATCAAGCTGTAACACAAACCTGGGTCATGCCACTGAAATGTAGTGCGTAGTAGTAATAGCACTGGTAGTAGTTGCTAGTACATGTACACTGTGTGAGGCCGTACGGTGCAGAAGCCAGAACGGGTATAAATTATTTGAGGCCGGCTATGAAATAATGAATACACATCCACACATAAGTCAGCAAACCACCTTATACTTGAAACAACCAATACAAATACAAACACGTCTTACCCCAAAACATGTTTTTATGTTCTCGGAGGACGACCATTTGTGAATTGAATGGAAAGGCGATCCTCACATGGCCCTGCTATCGTAAGTGGGTTCGTACACTTCGCAGGTCGTGATGTGGTAATGCAGCAGCGCGCGTTAATACAAAACTTAGATAAAATTTTGTTTGAGCTCAGCTGTCTTTTGTGTGCTAATAAGGCCTACTATCTTGTACACTGCATGTACACTGATGTAGTAAAAATCTAGAATATCTAACTTTTGGCAGTATGTACTTACATGTGGTAGGCCCTACTTAGTACAATGTTTGAATAAAAAAAAATGTTTCGCTTATAAAAAGAGGCGGGGGGGGGGAGGGGAACAAGTGGTGACTTTGGTGACAAAATTAAACCTGACATGGAAATACTGGGAATGCAAACGACGAGAGAGAGAGCGCACATTTTTTGAATGGCTCTAGGTCCATTTCTGGCAAAAGAACTCTAGAATTATCGTTTACTATTAAAGAAACTGGTCAATTGATTCTAAACAAATCTAAATAATGTTTGAATGGTTTAGATCATCAAACGCTCAATCAAAATCATATATTTTCCAAAAACTCCCGGGTCTACTCTATGTGTGATAAGTCTAGAATGTAAGGAGAATGCCCCAGTGCTTGTCCAAATGCGTTTTCCAGATGATTCACCATTTTTCTTGTCATTTTATTTTTCATTTATTTATTACCCTTTTATTTTTCTTCACAATTAATTTAGTCAAGGCATTTAAAACATAACATATAAGTAGCATATTGCAGGGGCAAAGCCAGGATTTTTTTGAAGGGCGGGGGGGGGGGGAGTGGATTTTATTTGGAATGGCAGGCCTCGGATAAGAAGCCGACCCTCGGCCCCTTGTAGTGTTTTAGAGGGCAAACGGCGCCATTTGGTACGGTTTAGAACTATGAATCAGCTAATCAAAATTATAATTTCAAGGGAAGAAATTTAGTGTGATCTTTTCTTCAGAACCCCCCCAAATCGTGTGAGGTGGCGTTATGGCGGAAAAGCTAATGAATCAATTCAAGTTTGGTCGCTTTTATAGATAAGTCTGCCCGGAACGTTCTTAGTGAGATGACTCCATATTATGCTTCTACTTTCATTTTGTTTTACACTGAGATTACTGAGAGATTATTGAGATTACTGACTGTGAGATTACACTGATTTTGACTTCACCTGTTACGTTATAGACCACGATGAGAACCAAAGCGGTTCATACCTTAGCGGTTTAAGTTTTGAGTAGTCTTTGCCATTTGAAATGTTGACTGTGGGGTAGATGGCAAAGGAAAGAGAACTATGACCATCCCCGCCTTAGCATCATTTTAAAGACTTTAAAGTGAAGAGAAAGGGAGACATTAAGATAATGACCAGCAACAAGTTGTTGTCAAATCGATTAGATCACTTATTCTAAACCAAGTATCATTTAACCAAGTATCATTTAAAAGACTTTTAAAGTAGTGAAATGAAATATAATTGACGACGCAGACTTAATGATAATGACAAGCAATAATTTGTGGTCAAAATAGATCATTAATTATAAGCTATAACGGTTTTTTATGCAAAAGGTAACTTGCTCGGACACACGAGAGTCTACATTCGTTTTCGATTGCCTGCTCGTTGTTGTGGTGAACTGACATGCGTCATCTGGGTTTTGAGCTCGTTACTTGCCGTTACCATGGTTTGCATAGTTTATGCAACCAATCACGCTACCGAGTGCGCCGTGTCTTAACAGCCCAACCTCCATACGTACGAGTTTCCTCTTATAGTAATCAAACGCAATTTTTAGAAATTATTTCGAGAAAAAAAATTAACTTGACAATCTTGGGATTCGAACCCGCCTATAAGTGTCTAGTTGTGTCCAAGGTGGCAGAGCTACCACGGAGCCACAGAAGCTTCGTTGATAGAATGTGGATCAAATGGAGACTTTTTACTTTCTCAAAGAGAGGGCCAGTTTCACCAGCTTTTATTATGATTTAACCCAAAAATGAACTATATAAAAATGTTGCTAAAACCAAAAATGAAATGTATAAATGTCAATATCATAACCTAAACGTTACCTAAACGGACCAAAAAATTTGGCACTGTCACCCTACTAAAATATGAAATACGTAGATAAACGCAGTGGGTTCGTTGTTATTACGCCGTATACGATTAGCATACGCATGCAAACTTTGGTGTACGCTTACTTACACAGAAGGAGTACTATTCGGAGTATGTTCAGAAATGTTCAGCGTTTGAAATACCAATACGTTACTCCTTCGTTAGGGATACCCTGAACATGCAACGAATATGCTAGACTGACGCTAAGTATATGGAACGCAACACTGACGATCAATTAGCGTATGGGACCTGTTTCTAATAATGATATGTCAACGTATGTCTGCCTTATATTTACATATCCTTTGCGTATATATACCTATGCTGAGTGCATTTTTCCGTTTACCTGACGCATGATGAACGCATGACAAACGCATTGTTATTTGTGGTAAAAAAGAGTGCACACTTTCATCACATCCGCGATGGAGAGGATATTTCCAGTACCAGTTGGATTTGATTCAGTTTGGACTTCATAACTTCCAACACACAGAAGCACGCTACCCATACGTTACTCATACCCTGATAAACATTAAGCATACACTTATATACGGTACTCAAACGCTCATATATGCTTAAGAAACGCTTGTATGTACACTTATCAAAAGTTATGCATGTTACTTATACGCTGATATACGGTGCTCATACGTTACGCATACGTTGATATTAGGTGCATATACGTTACACTTACGACGAATCACCTTTATTTCTTATACGGTATACAAACGCACGTTATACGGTGTAAATATGCTTCCAGTACGCTATTTCTACGCTGCTGAAACGTTAATTCTCATACGCTGGAAAAAGGTTGTCTTCTTGTTGTGCGTGTAAACGATTCTCCATACGATACTCATACGTATCTCTTTTACGCTAGATGTGACCGGGCCTTAATACTATTGACATTACCTAGTTACTTGTAATTATTTAACCTTAATATACAATTCGGTCGAGTCCAATTTGGCATCAAGTTATTGTACGAGATATTTGTTTATAAATTGGGAAAAATACTTACGACAACAGTAAACACCTGCCCAAAGTTGGCACCACCCATAATCTATTAGTAGCCTACTTCAACAAAGATGAGTACAAACAAATACAAATCAGTGGAAGGAATTGATATACAGTGTAATACGAATACAGTTTGTGTCACGTAATATGGAAGTAGGGTATCAGTATTTCCGAGAGAGGCCTATCGTATGTGCCTGTCTAAATGAGGACCAAAGTCTTCCAATTATTGTCTTCAAAATATTTGAAAATGAAGAACGATTCCCTCTCATTGCGGATATCTAATTTAGAAATCGAGCTTTCCATATGTCTCAACTATCGCTTGAACACAAGCCAGCGAGTTGGCAGGTGTAACAGCTTGCATTGTTCTTACCAACAATAAGGGGAGCTCCGAAAGGAGAAAACTTGATCGCGCTGTTTATTTTAAAATTCGACAATATCTACTTTTATCGCGTCGGACATAATACACCGGCACTTCAACAAACCCCGAGCGGCAGGTAATATTTCCGTTCACCAGGTACTGCGCGGCGCTAGCCAGATGTTTGTATGATATTCTCTGCGACACGCGCCTCCCTAACATAATCAATACCTCGTCAAAACCAGCATCTATCTGAGGCTGAGTCACATCTCAGCTCTGTGTTCACATTTACGGAATACTGACACATATGCTGGTCAATAGGAAATATAGAATATAAGAGAGCTGGAAGTTGTATATTGTAACAGCACCAGCAAGGGACATCCATATATGTCATCGTTAAATGGAAGATGGAATATTAAGCGATGCGTGGAAGGAAAGCGTACAAACCATCGAAAGCAGAGAAGGCCCAATCATTTCCAGTGAACGACAAGCCAGGGATAAGTAAGGTAATAAAAACAATTAAACGTAAGCCTTTTTACATGGTTCTGAATATATTGAACCTCGTCGTAAATAATTAATTCGTATTAAAAAAGGACCAAGTGAGATCATATGTTCCATGTTGTAACTTTGTTTGTATAACAAGTTCGTAGACTGTTTTAGGGGACTTGTACTTTACTCAAGGCTTGCCTTCACTTCACAGACGTCGCTTGACATTTATACTTTCCAAGTAATGTATGAAAATGGCATATAATTTACATGTCAAAAGTCTACACATATTGTTATGGCTATATGTCAGCTGCTCGTTTCCTTATTCCCATTGCTGTTGCTCTTCTTATTATTCATAACAACGACTGGTTTGAGAGCCTCGCCAAAGGCGCGGTGTGCTACGTGATTACTGTTATTGCCTCAATTAGTATTAAAACTGACATCTCCTGGGAGCTATATCTGTATAGTGCTGCCAATGTTAACCTCGGCACAAGATATGAACAAGTAAAATAATTTTGCCGTGTCGTGATAGCGTCCTGAATATCAAATAAATCGTATTCATTGTTTCAGTTTCTGTCATTATTTTAATAATTGAAAAGGCTGCTATGGCGAACCTGTCAATAATGAATAGAACCGATGAATTTACAGTTCAGGTACTCAATCAGAGCAAAATCTAAAAAATCAGGCATGTCATTAATGAAGTTACATTGCTAAGGGAAATAACGCTTATGCCACAGCTGATTCCAGTGTAATGTTTCAGAAAATGTAGATTTCTGGACTCGTGGCATATTTGTTTTTATATTTGGGATTTTAATGAATAGATCCGTTCCTGAATGCTGCAATCTGCAGATGAAAAAGCCACGAGAATTATTGTCGCTACAAATCGCTTGGGAAAACTAACATAGCCAGGTTTTCATTAGTTTCCCGTTGTAATTAAACCTTCGCTGCCTTATTGAAGATAACTCCACTGAATGCTCATAAATCAACGCCGCCTGCATGTGTAGAATACGCCTTCTCAGGTGGATGCCGTTTGATAATTATAACGGTTATTTATTTCATATAAAGCGTATCAGGGAGGTCGACGGGGTATTTTCTAGGAAGTGCTATTTTCAGCAAGGGTTAATCTCTGTAGCCTTTGATGTTGCCGCACTAAGGGGCAGTTGGTGACCACCACATGACAGCAGGCATGGCCAGCCTGCTCTCTGTCAGCTTAGTATGAGCAAAAAGACTGAACGTTTCTACTTTTACATATCAAATTAGATCACTAGTATATGAATTGGTAAACTTAGTAAGAAAATCAGTCCAATCATTTAATTAACAAAGATCAACAATAGTTTCCTTTGCTCATTTTGGCTTTGACATCGGCTACCATATACCGCACACCCGGCCCACTCTGTTCCAGAAGACTGATGTCTTGTTTGCAGACCTTACATCTCCTTAATGATATGAATTAAGAACCCAATACCAAAGTTAGGGTCAAAAATTCACATTTTCGTGGTCGTTACATATATCTTCATTTTACATATTATTATATATCATTCAAATATTTAAACTGGGCAGTCTAGTTGCTTTGACTCGGCTTAAGCCTAAACGTCCAAGTCCCTTATCTAATTAGTTCTCCTTACGTCCAACTCGTGTTAAACTAAAATCTCATCAAATAAACAGAGTCGGTATTATATCACGTGATAAGGTGTAGATGATATTCCTGTTATGTAGGGTCAGCTTAGCATGCCTTCGATACCTTGAATTAAGTCACACATGGGACCACACATGTTAGCTAAGCTGTCAGATCATGTTGGTTTTCCTTATCAACCTACATATGAAAACGGGGCGCGTTCCACATCAGTATACCTGTTCTCTCCTCTGCAAACAATATGCTATCTCAAAACATTAAACTCAGAAGAATGTTGTCGCTGGTTTTCTTTGTCAACTCAGTTTGGTATTGTCAGGTTGTTTTTCAACGCTAGGAAGCGTACACAATCTAGATGGTGAGTACAGCTCCTCTCCTTTTGAACTAGCTATTTCCTTGAGTCACAATACTATCGGTCGTTTTGTCATTCATTTCTCCATTTCTCTTTCCAGACAGCGTCTTTCAATGGAGGTGGGGCGTTGGCACGCGATGGTTTCGTCAGGGTCAACCCAGCGTTCGTTGAGGATGAAGAGGATGAAGCAAAACGACCGGACCAGTCTGACATCACGGTACAGATGTCACTCCAAGATGATTTCTCAGAAACAGAACAAGATGAGGAGATTAAGACTCAAACGGTACTTGCCAATGGCGATGCCAACGCGGTAGGTCTTGGCGTAAAGCCAGCAGATGGACCTATAGTTATTGCAAGTAATGACCATAATTTTACGTCGGAAAAGGGACCGAATAAAAAAGAGAAGACAGAAGAGACTGATCGTACATTCAGTGATAGCAATTGGTCCCTAGAGAACGTCATTGTAAATAAATCCCCGTCGCATGGAATATACCGCAAGAGGGATTCCAGCGTATCCGAGTATCTTCGCTCCTCCTCCTATTTGTCTGGAGAATCTCAGAATTCTCTGGACAGGAAATCAGTCTCCTTCACTCGCGGTACACTGGACAATGAACATGGCGTCAACAACCAATCACAGTTGAACATGCAAGTTAAGATGCAAATTGATTTAAAAGATATTTATGGAAAGAGAATTTCTTGTAGCGAAGGAGTTAAGGTAAATCCTATTTTTGTGGATGATGACGAACTTGAGAAGTTGGAAGGGTATATGGTCAACCATTCTAACGGTATCAATGGAAAAAGAGGAAGCTGGAGTCCCGAGATTCAACGTGATGCAGACGAATCAGTCAGCAATGGCGCAGTTCAGGTAAATTGTCGCGCCATATCTGATTTAAATTCACTTTTAAATCTTTTGTCGGTATAAACATAGAATGACTGAAATGATCATTTTTTTAAAATCCATTTTATTACTTTTGCTTTGCTTTCACGTTGACATTTACTTATTCAGATAATTCTATTTGATGCAGATTATGAAAAAAAAACATTCTGTTTGTTCAGTCAGGACTTAATGTCCACTCTCAACTGTTAGTTTCAGCTACGCCTTACCTTTCAGCATACTAAAATAATAATAAAAATAAAATAAAACCCCAGGTACTATAAGTGTGTTTAACTGAGCAGGCGCAAATCTCCGAACTTCAAATACGTGCACCATGGTAAAACACGAAAAGGGCACTCTATACGGGGTTACCTGCCAAAATTATAAATATAAATTATAATTTTCCTCGGGTGAAAAAAGCAATTTCTCTTACTCACAAGTCATTGCTCGACCCGTCCTTGCTCTTAGATTTGAAGTTTTATTCCATTTTGATCTAATAATTTAGTTCTAAGTAACTGGCCAGTCATTTAGAACGTTTAGAACGCCATGTCCTCCTGTTCATTTCAGGAGGAACTATCCACGCCAGGTACTTTTTTATTGGAGGGGTTTTATAGTTTTATAGTCTGAATTGGGAATTATAAGTAGACGACATACATATGTAGAGAATTTTCAAACGCGCACAGAGTACCTTAAGCTATGAAGGGCCCACCCCTACCCATAGAGGTCCAGATTTCGGGGATATTTAAGAGAAATACCTTTACACATGGTTCCGGGATCTACATGCCAACGACATGCCTCGCTGTTCTGTTCACGAAAGCGTTCAAATGATCACGATGTACCGTTTAGCAGGGCCACAGATTGATTTTTCATTTGATGTTCACAGATATTTCTGTGAAATTTTCTGTCAAGAGAGAGCCATTGCACGTAATTGACGTCATCACGTAGCTGGCATCTGGTAGAAAGTATTATTATAGGGGTAATTTTGTAAACGTTGTAAACTGTCTTATTCTACGATTCGGCATAATTACCTGTTACCAGGCTTATTCTAGGGAGAAACCATATTGTTTGGTTCTGATATGATTTTTTTTCAAGAAAATTGTGAGTCAGTAAATTGTACTTATTCTAGTTGTTACACAACTACAGTATCTTTCTACTTCATCTTTTCCACTTTAATGCCCACGGTACTAGTTTTCAAAGTCATTTATTAATATATTTCTTGTGAGGTTTCAGAGTTAGCTATTTTGTTTTTGGCTGACAGTCTTATATAACTATGAATAACACGTCTAATTAAATATTTAAATTTTACCAGTCACAAACAAAATTATCTAACGCGATATCAGATACGGGCACTTTTAATGGCTTGAGATTAATAAAAATTATGCAAAAGGTTATTTGGAGATCGGATACACCAAACAAGTTTGGTTGTTTGGTGGGTCATAGATTGCAAAAAATTGTTTTGAATCAGTGACATTAAGCTTTGAAGTTAAAATATCGAAAACCCAGCTGAAAACCGTCCCACGGTGTATTTCATACCAACAAACATCCAGCATGCAAACATCTCTATGTAAAAGTAGTATAAAATTGGACAATAGATACCCTTTTCTTTGCTGCTTTTTGTGCTAATTATACTAGTGTCCAGACTGGGAACGGGTACCTTGAGTATCTCTAATGGCTGGGGTTTGGTGCACGCCCTTCAGCCCCGCCTTACATATCATATCATATCACATGATAGCAGCAACTTGATGATACAGTCATGTGTAATACACAGTTATCTTGGACCTTCGCCCTGCATCGTACCGCTTTCTTCTGTGTTAACAATCCATCGCTGATCCTATCACCACCGGCATGACCAGAATTTTGTTAGGGAAGGGGTGTAGGGGATACGGGGGGGGGGGGGTAAATGGATTTTAAAAAGTTGCCGAACGAAGTGAGATAAATAAAACAGTAGACTTTAACTATAATATGTAAGGCACAGTGATGGCATTTTTTTCCGTTTTGTGTCCTTTCGCGAGCAGGTACTTCTTAAGCTGCAGGTGGAGCACTGACCACCCCCTCCCCTTCCTCCTGGATCTGCACCTGCATAACTAACATTTTATGTCTACTTAGGGTTAGTAAAAGTTAAACAAATAACAAGCTACATTCTTGTTTCCTGAAAGTATTTATAGCTGTTTGTGTGTGTGTGTGTGTGTGTGTGTGTGTGTGTGTGTGTGCGTGCGTAACGTTTTCAGCGCGTTTTTGTAACTATGTAAATGGTCCATTGAATTTTCAGATGACACTTGACGACCTTAGCAACCCGATATTTGACGGCTACGACGCACTTATCAAGAAAGAAATGGCCAAAGAAAGGAAGAAGAAAATCTGCAGAATAACAACTTTGATAGTAGCATTCATCGTACTTGTGGCTGTCGGGGTCGGTCTTGGAGTTTACTTTGGTTCCCCGTACAGATAAAGCTTTCAGGCCCACTAAAGTCTGGTTCTTAGAGACCATTCAGAATTCGAAAAGCCGATTGCTTGTCCACGGCCTAAATATGGCGGACCTACATGAAAGGAAGACCGCTTAATCCTGTAATGGTCTCTCCGCCTCTGTCACGCCTCCCAACGCGTCGTCCCTGCAGGGGCATAGTAATTAAATCTCTTCGGGGACGACCCGAGGTGAGAAGCGAAGAGACCATTACATGTAAGTCCGCCATATTTAGGCCGTGGACCAGTTAGCACTCTGCTCTTCTCATTCTGATTGGCCCCTTACGCACCGTTTATCAATATATTGGCTGACTGCGAGGAACGAGTCCCAAGAAGCGAACTCACTGTTAATATTGTTCATTTTAATATTTTTCTGTTCTACGAACGATACATCAACTTACCCAGCTTACTGTACATAGCTTGCATATCGATGTAGTCGGCATGTATTATTTATAACTTCAATATGTTATGAACTTAGAAGAGCTAGTTGAACAAATACAATTAAAATACGTGCTCCACCCATCACCAATTTATAAAGAAATATATTTTTGATACCAATGCAGGGTAGACAGCTTGTCAAAGTGACATTTGCAATAAAGGTGAATTGGTAATAAAAATAAGGGTATTTAACTTACATTTATACACGTACCGTTTACTTTGAAAATATTGAAACCCACGTTAAGGGCGTAGCTACTCTTTATATCAGCACCAGTACGTTTTGAAGAATATGATTGCATTCTAAAAATCAAAGGATTCATAATCTAAACTCCATTATATAAACATCAAAACGCCGCTTTTGCGTAATCGTGATTATTTCAAAATAGCTTCCTCGAAAAAGCATATCTATATTTGTTGCACCTGCCCCGGAATGAGAGGTTTAATTGCGAGTAGTTGTACAGGGGCGGATTCAGGGCGTCTTCTGGGTCTTCCGGAAGACGGTCAGATTTTCAAGTTTACATTCACGGGTATCTAATTTTTTCTGTCGGAAGACGGTCAAAAATGAAGAATGGAGCAACAAAGATAATTTGGAAGACTGTCAGAAAATATCTCTGAATCCGCTCCTGTTGTAGCATGTGGTAATTACTGCCATGTTTTGTCATTTGAGGTCAAATTGTTCAATGTCTCACGTACATTGACGTCTAAAAATAGAAATGAGCATATAAAATTTTGTTTTTGGGAAAAAAAGGGAAATGACACGCCTTTAACTATCCTACTGGTACAATAAAACAATGCTACACTACACGCGACTACGTTACTTCTAGGAAACAAATCATTTAACGAAGTCAAACCTGACATCGGGTCAGTTGCAATTCGTTCAAAATGAAAAACACAAAGATGAGGACAGATATCCCAAGTTGGCCTACACTGATGATAAATGTACCCGTGTGATAAAGGTGCCATGAATGCCATCGCCTCTGACAACGAAAATGTCAGAGAGAGAGAGAGAGAGAGAGAGAGAGAGGACTCTTCTACACTTCAGTCCATCAGCAGTATCTTACACTGATTGATTACACGGCAGCAGCAGCTGTCTTACAGTATACACAGAACAAATATAGATGATCATAAACGACAGATTTGAAACATCAGCATCATGTTAATTTGGTCAACTACATCTGCGGCAGTCTCGCTGGGAAAATAACCAGCTGCTCTTCATGCTGCAAAGGACAATGTAATCGAACTCAAAATCCAACCAAAACCCATAAAAATTCGCTACAATCAGGCATATTATGAAATATGTTTATTTTCTTTGCAATTCTCCCACACCCTTCTATACTAATAAGAACATGTATTTCATCAATGTTTGTTACAATACACCACCTCCATTATTATAGTATACAATTTATAATTCTTACTGCTTGAAAAAAATACCAATGAACTAGTCAGAAAATAGCATGATGCACAAATCACCTTTATATATATATATATATATATATATATATATATATATATATATATATATATGGAAACCAGCAGCATTGAAACACATAAAAAATTTAGGTTATTGGTATTATTACACAACATAGTTGGCATCACAGATGCTGGCCATTTATTATAATTACACAATTTGATACCATTTTGTAGCAGCTGAGGGCATCAAGTTCAGAATAATCAAACATACTACCAGCATATAAGATAATACAATGAGCATAGCAATTATTCAGAATGATTGTGTTTTGTGGCCAACAGTTTCACTTCAAAAATTATTCTATTGACAAAAACTATAAAACATTTAATTATGGATAAAATGTGCTAAAGCTTGGAATTTCTAAAATTAAGTTTAAAGGGATAATAACTCTTCGTATGAGATCTATATTTCACAATAAAAACATTGTGAATAACTCATAGAAATATAATATATTCTGTTTTACCACAAAAAGGGCAGTTATAGCTATTTTTCTGATATCTGAGCTTGTCTTTAGACCACGTGACCTCCATTGATGGCTATACTCTGTTAAAATCTCTTAAGAGATTTTAACAAAAAACCAAACTTTTTAGAAAAAAACCAGGGACTAACTTTGAATGTAAAAATGGATTCATTAACCATTGGTAAGTATGGGAAAATTGTTGTTTACTCCAGGAAAATTCATTTTTTGGCTGAAACAAAGAGTTATTATCCCTTTAATATATCTAATGTATTTATAATGTATTCATCTTTATTATCATAGTTTACTTACAGTTATGGTTAATAAAAGCTTAGTGCATGGAAATCAATTGAATATCATTTAAAAAACATCTAAAAGTGATATATTCTGTTTGGTAGTATTATATGCATATCAAATATTTAAAAGCTTGATAAATTACCCTGCTCCCTGAAAATAAAAAGCTTAGTGAATTGTAATGCCTTTCATGCTGCACTGTCTTCATAAAGCACTGTATCTATCCTAAAATCCAGTTCATCTGTTGGCACACTTTCAAGCACCTGTTCCTTGTAGGCAAGAGCTATAGTGTATGGTTTCTTGTTTGTGTCTTTTTCACAGCGAGACAGGTAGGTATCATAGTAGCCCTTGCCTCTCCCGAGGCGATCTCCATCTTTTGTGAAGCTAAGGCCTGGGACCAAGATCAAATCTAATCCACCTGGATGTAAAAAATTGGCATTTTATAACTGTTTTATTATAATGCAAATTCAAAGGCAATTACATGATTCATTATTTAAATAATGAATCAATCAAAAAGTACTTCTTAATGAGATATAGAATTTATGTAGACTTGAAACATTTTAAACATTCTCATCTCATACTTTTACCTCTGATTTAATCACGATAAAATAAAATAATAAATAAATACAAGGTGGCAGTTTACAATTATTCAAATCATTGTTTATAAAAATTACATGTAAAAATGAGCTAACCAGTAGTGATGGCATCCTCCCTTTGCTCGTCATCTGCAGGCTGTTTAATCTTCCACGATGTCACTGGCAGATCTTCATAGTCCTGGAGGGACAGCAGTCTTACCATGTCCATGGTGGTGCCAATGTAGCGTGGGATGTAACACTTTTTATTGTTTTCTAAAAGATTCTTCACGATTGGCAAAGTGTGTATTTCATCATGCATGTTAAGAAACACGGAGACACGTTGGCTGGACTGGTACTGAGGCATTTGGAAAAGCTGGAAAATTAGAACCATTTATACTTTGAGTGACATAAAATATGCTTACTTGCCAATAAATGAGTAAAGGATGACCCCCTAAAAAACAGAAGCCATAAAAATTTTATTAAATCCTAAAAATTAAGATTTATCGAAATTCGCTTGACTTCAACTTTTATTTGATGGACCTTTGTAAGATTCAATAAATTTATTTATTTATTTATTTAATCATTTTATTGGGTGTGTCATGCAACGAGGCTACTTGGAGCATCCTTGTCTATTGTTTGATTGCTAGGCTATCCAGTTTATACTGGCAATGGCTGGTGCAGCCAACTAGACAACAGTTACTGTGCTCAGGCTGAAGTTCCAAATACCAAATTAAGAAGCGGTTGTTAACACCAAAGACCTCTTACTAAATACCTTTCTCGTCACTATTTCAGATTGCCTCTTTTTCTCCTCGTCTGACAGGCATGCGATTTTCTTTTTAATTTCTTTACGCAGTGCATTTTTCGCAGCTCTGATACTCGTGGAAGCCATTGGAAATTAGGTCAAGTGGAAACTGGGTCAATGCAAGTGTTTTTACTTTGAGGCTTCTTTATTTCAACACTGAATGTGTGCAAACATTTCCATTTCCTTGTGAACATTTAAATATGACGTGTTAAAATATTATTTTTTTCGATATAATGATTAACGTAAAACCATAACGTTAACCTTGATACCTTCTTCTCTTGATGAAATTCTACGCGGAGGTTATTTGTTTCACTTTTTACTTCTCAGTTCACCCTGATTTGGCGGAATAGAATGGAGGACTTTGAAGAAGGGGAATTGCTGGAGTCAGATGAAGAGCAGGTTAAGACAAAAAATATTGATGATGTAGTCCACTGGTGGAAACAAAGAGAACATTTTATCATAGTAAAATTAAGATATCAAAAAGCTATCATATGTATTTTAACAACGCACAATTTGCTTTTGCTTTTTAAATTGCAAATGTAAAATACATAAAAATACAAGTACACGTACAGTACAGTATAGAGTATAGCACCATTGTGCTATGCTAACAAATGGGCTACAAGTCTTTCCTTAATAACCTCTGATAAATTCACGAGAAACCTGTCATGGGGCCTCCATGCTTATGTACACCTACTGCAGTATCTTCTTTACAAAAATATACACTGCTACTAGTATATTGTATAAGTTAGTATTTACTAACTGCACATTTGAAGGTACAACGTTACTGGGGTACAGCATATCTACCATTTCAATAAAATTCTTTTGTTACAGAATGATGAGTCTAATATAAATGTTCTAGCATTATATTAAATTCATTTACAATATACCTAGTAGCATCACACTTTGTGTCTATATGTGTTTATAAATGTACCCAGTACCACTGCATGATTAATTTGCTGTCATTAATTTTCACTGCCATTTTTTCTAGAATGATGACCTCCACCGTACTGATGTGACCAAGCCTTCAGACAGCATTGAGAACAGAGGGGCCTGGGGCAGCAGACACCCTGTCCCTAACTACAGGTCCACTGGGAAGCTCACTCTGTCCAGCTCAGAGGACAGCAGTGATAGCGAACGAGAGGAAGATGATGACGAATTGTTGTTTAAAAGAAAAAAGAGCAGACAGTCTGACAAAAATGGCCACGGAATGGACTTTCAACCAAGTGCTACATTTCAGAACCCACTTTTGAACAAAAGTCAGCCAAGTTGGGTAGGAATGATGTCCAAGCAGAAACACAGAAATAACATTTGGGGGAGTGTGCTACAGGAACAAACTCTCAGCCAAGGTTTGGGAGGGTTTGGTGTTGATCAAAGTAAAACAGACTTGAAAAGTGACAGGAGCGTGGAAACTTATGACTACACAAAAGCTGCAGAAGACCACAGACCTATCATTGAAGCTGGGGATGATGGGACAGTAGTGTCCAATGATCCGTTTGATCAGGTACTCCAGACAGATCACTCTGCTTTGGAAAAAAACATGCAGTCAAGGACAGGCATTGACAGGAAAAGAAAGAGACCTATCAGAGATAGACTAGGATCTTTTTCTCATGATAAACACAAATCAAGGGATCACATCAAGGTGACGGAAGATGATCCAGAGGAAAAAGTTGTCAGTGCTATTACGGTGGCTTTAAATGAACCAAAGAAGGAGTTGATGGGTATGAACTTTTCAGTTGCGATCCACATTTTTTTTGTTTACTACATATAGATGAATATATATATATAATATGCTAAGGAGCTGGTTTCAAAATTAATAAGATACATAAATGTATCTCTCATTTTGTATCATGGAGAATAGACCACTACTTTTAAAAGTGATATTTCTGCCTTATTATCCATCATATTGAACAGTTATGTGAGTGAAGATGATTGTACGAGTAGTGCATTAGTGAACTCCTTTAAAAATGTACAAATTATTGTCACTTTTCAGTAAAAGAAACAGTTTTAGCTTTTTCTTACACTATAAATGCTATATCAAGCACAGAAGTGTATATGTGTGTCAGATAATCTTGAGAGACCAAGATGTCATTTGAGATTAAGGCTCGTGACTCAATCTTTGACTCCAAGTACATATGAAGTAGCTGTGTGTGTATATTTCAGAGCGCGTGGTAAAAGTGGTGGGTGTGAAGAAGGCCATTCAGTTACTGTATGAGACTGAAGATGTGGAGGATGCTGGGGGATTATGGATCAATGTAAGTATTTTGTTCTTGATGTTTTTGACCTGAATAGATAGTAAATGTATGATTATGATAGATGGTAAATATATGATTATATTGTCCTGTACTTTATTTACTATTACAATGCAACTTGCAAGTACATTTTTGAATAGACAAAAATGGTGAATGATACCAAAGATACTGAACACATTCAACAGTTAGGTGTGTGCCAGTGTAACATAAAAATCTGACTCCCGGAGTCAAAATTTCAGTATGAAAATCTGACTGGGGAGTCACCTTTTAGGGGAGTCTGATTTTCATGGTACACTGATACCTCTCAAAAGAAAAACAAGAATGCGAATGATTCAGTTTAAATTAGTACTTCATGGAAAGAAATGAATATATATTGCATGAGGCTGAGCTGTAAATATCAGTTACATATAACATACAAGAGAAGAACTATATCTAATGAAGATGGTGTGGTGTATGTCGTTTCCAGGACGGTTCCAGAAGAAGAACACCAGGGGGCGTCTATCTACAGCTGCTGAAGGCGGACCCAAGTGTCACCAAGGACCATTTGAAAGACATCTTTATCGAATCATTTATGTATGACAAAGAAAAACAAAAAGAGGCAAAGTAAGTCCCTTTGAAGCTGCCAGGTTTTGCAAATAATTTACGAATTGTGAAATGGCATTAACTGGTGAACTTTATGTAAAATTTTGCCAGCTTCTTGCAGTGGAAGAACTGGATAGACTAGTTGTGACATTTTCCTTTATGTGCAAGCATTTATGTTTCATATGTACTGTGTTAATAATATGATTGTCCTTCCTGTTTGTAGGAGACGTAAAAGAAGAAGGAAGGCAGAGGAAGCCCGGAGAAGAATGGAAATTGGTTTGAGAACCATGGATGCTAAAGGACACGAAACCAATTTGGAGGAAAAGACTAGTGACAGAAAAGACTACAGTGGGAGTGACAATCCACGTTTTATGCACTGTGATCCAGACAATGAAATGGATGAAGACAGGGATGAAAGTGACGATGAAATAAAAGACTTTGAATCATTACTCAGAAAACACAAAGAAGTGCAAGAGAAAAAGAAAACTGAGGTTAGCAACATGGAAAGTCAGATCACGGAAGTGTCTGGTATAAATATGGAGAATGAAGATGTGGCCGAGCCGGAAATTAGCATTGACATCGAGGAGGGGGAATCCATTGACTGATGATACTCATTGTGCTTTCATTTAAGGCTGTTGATCAACTTTGTGTTTCATTTGTAATCAGCGAAAAAGAGCATTTGTGGAATTATGTCAGGCATTGACATTGAAGAAGCTTTGTCTGTGGCAATAAAATTATAAGTTTGGTTAGATATGTTTGCTTGACATTGAGAATATGTGACAGGTTGGGCAGAATTTAATACAGTGTGTGTGGTATTTGTAACATGGACTGGTGCAATCTTTTGATTTCAAATATATTTTTGCTTAAGTTTATGAAACGTAAATTTTGCTAACTCTCAAGTCCCTCCTCCCTACAAAAAATAGATGGAAATGGTAGATAAATTGGGATCTTTCACTCTAGCTAATCTAATATTTCATTTAAGGTTATTAATGGGCCTTGAAATAACTCTGAAATAACTCTGTATTAAGCGGGCCCCGAACCCCACGTCAGAAGAGGAGGGAAGGGTTGGCTTCGCATCCGCGCCCCCCCCCCCCCCCTCAAATAATCCTGGATCCGCCCCTGGTATGTATCGAGAGATATCAAAGTCCGTATGAAAATGCAACAATGTGCAACGTAGAAACATTCGTGTCTTACAGAGTTTAATTCATGTCTTACTGAGTTTAATTTCTTCAGAGATTAATTAACGTGCAAAAATCCAACTTAAAACAAATAATTAAGTATAAACGTGAATTGAAAAAAATCACTTAAGTTCCACAAATCTTACATACTCATTTTGATGATAAAGTTTGCAAAACAATGAATTATATATAGTTTTGCTAAATTCAGCTGACTTTTCGCCTCCGTGCACCCTGAGCTTCTTGACACGATGGAGATAGGCTACAGTGAAAAGGTTAGTGTCAAGTTAGCTCTGAAGCTCAGGGTGCCTCCGTGCAGCGATGACCGAGAGATACCCGCAGGTAGCTCTTTTATATTGGAGGTATATTTCAGCGGATCGTGAACCCTGTCAAGGTCTACTTGAACAGTGAATGACCTAACATTATAAATATACACCCCGTCAAAATGTCAATAGCATGGGAACAGGACGTAGCCGCTACGAGAACTTAATACCAAATAGATGCCATGGAACGTTTAGAAACTGAGTCTCCGGACTTTCACGAACGCAGAGAAAGCTTCAGAAATTGGACACGAACTTCATCGACCACTAGCCGCAGTTCTCTGTTTCCGCAATCTCGGGGTGACAACGCTGATGACGATTATTCTGGCTCATATCCCGGCTTAAGACGGGATTATGGTTGGTATAACCTAAGATCTAATATACCATATACCGTTTATTAGATCTTAGGTATAACTTACTTAGTCCTATTTTCACGACATGTTTCCTCTTACTGTACTTTTCAAGCCGGTTTGATCTGCAGGAGGTCTAACTATGATCCAGATCCCTCCCCAAATGATGCACATTAATTCTGAATAACAATAATAATAATAATATATAATAATAAAATTGATCAAAAATAAAATATCAAGTAGTGGAGAATGCGTTATATTTTTCATTGGTTTGTTTCTAGATGAAAGTATCAACAGCAGTTTTTTTTTCATAAAATGACATTTTAAAATCCAATAATTGATAAACATAAATAGATTAGTAAAAGTAAATAAAAAAATAAAGCAAAAAATAATGGTCATTTTTCTAAACTATTAATCACTGCCATTAGGTAAATTTTTATCCAGCATTTAACATACACCCTGTATTCTGATAGGTGGCTGTTTTAATTAATGTATGTAATCATCACAAGTATATATCCAATGAACTTGGCATCCTGTTGATATGTCATGATATGATACAGCAGACCATTTATCTTATCCCAGCTGGACGTGTGGACAGGTGTCCCTTAACTTAACAAATCAATTAATAGCTGTACACAAATAACTAGATCAGTTTTATCTTATTGTGAATACCTGTACTATTAAGTTTGGAAGGTTCAATTTCAAGTTTTAATACTTGTTTTAATACTTGTTTAAAACAAAAGAGATGGAGATAAATTGATGAAAATTAAGGTCTTAGTTGTGGCGTTGTTATCCTGCAGCCTGATAATAATATAAACAGATGTAAAATTACATTGAGGCTATAACATTGATATGTTTTGGTACCTAATATTTCTGCACTTGCCGTAAATATCCCTCCCTCCAATGTCAGTGTGCAATCCCCATGCTGTGAGCAGAGACTCTACGCTTAGGGACAATTCCCACAGATATTTGGATAGATCTATCTCCCTCGGGAGTCTCACTAAATTGCTATAAAACTAACCAGCTTAAACATCTGTCACGCCTAGTAAAACTGTTAGGGGGTAATTATCTTTACCCCAAGCTGATACGGTAGGCATGACAGACATTTAAGTAGCAATTTAGTGTGAACCCCAGGGAGTCAGGTCGATCCATATAGTCTCAGATAGATTGATCTGAGTATGGGAACCCAGTCTTAGACCCCATTCCCATACCTAGATCGATCTAGAAGGATTGACCTATCTCTGAGGGGATTATTGCTAAGTTGTATTCAGATTAAGCAGCTTAGATGTCTGGCATGTCTATTGAAGCTGCTAAATGATAGTTACTCCCTGACAACTTCAGTAGGTGTGCCAGACATCAGAGTCTCTTTAAGCTGAATGTACCTAGCGTGTGGTTACAAAGTACTTTATTTACATATGTAACTATGCTGCTTATTTATTTATGTAAGTGTTTTGCTTATGTATTTTTGTAATGATGTACAGAGGACTTTTTTTCAGATGAGTTAACAGTGCTGCAAGCTCAGGTGTTTTTGGAGGATGCAGAAAAAGTAAGTAAGAAGAGCATCAGAAACCGTGTTAAGGGATTTGTGCTATATTTTGAGGGAAAAAATGCATCAAGAACTGTTGCTTTTGCTTACCTATTAATTCAGAGAAAAACAGAGAAAAAATGTTTTCAATTACAAACTTTCCCATCTTAATGCATGTGGGATCAATTTGGTGCTGCACGTTTGTCAGTTTTTATGATGTTAAGTCTCTATGTTTACACCTGCCGATTTGTAGTTGTTTCCAGCTAGCTGATTACCATTCAGATTAATGTATGCTGTTCAAAGGTTGAGTTGTACATTTAGAATTGACATTAAAGGACAAAACAGCTTGCTGACTCTGATAAGAGAAATGATAACTCTTAATTTTTCTTCAAATGGGGGGAGAGCAGTTATTGGTTTGTTTTTACAGCTCATCATCATCATACCACTTATTGTTATCCTCTTTGATTATGATCCAATTAAACACTCATGAAGTCGTGCCCTATGAAGCAGATATAGGGAAGACATTTGCCCTTGCCTCTTAATCATGTTTGTAATGGGAAGAACACCTGAGCTTTTTTTAGAGCCAAAATGATAGACAAATCTGTATTTATTCAAATGACAGCTAAATTATTTGTTAAAGAATACCAGAGAATTTTCTTTGATCATGTTAACATCGGAACCAAAATATTTGCCAGGTATGAAGAGCTCTCTACATTGTGATTTGTTGGGTAGTTGGCGTGATGACCTATTTGGAAAGATGAAAATGCATTTGTCTGCCTTAAGTACAGATCTATGTATTTGCATGACATATCTTTACTAATACATTGAAATATTATATTTTAGTACCGTAGCATCCACCACAAAATTGACAAGACCTCGTTGAGACTGTACAGACTATACTTCTCCAGACCTTACCAATGGTATGTTTGATTATTTATAATTTAGCACTATACCTTAAACAAGATTCCATCCAGGTATCAGGTAATTAGAGCAGTGTCATCAGTCAGGTTTTATATCTTAAAATTTGAAATTTTAATAGATTCTTGATTGAATTTAAATCAGAAAAACAAAATTTTGTTAAGGGCATGGATGGCAATTTTTTGGGTTACGAAAGTGAAATTTTGCTGTTGACTTGTTTTGTGGTGGTTTGTTTTCAGTAAAAAGTTCATAATATTTTTAACCAGGTTCCTTTTCTCGGTGATGTTTGTTGTACTAATCCTGGCATTCTTCGAGAAGCCATCCTCACTGACCACAAACTGGACGTCCGACATGAGGAATACTGGTCAGAGACTGAACCCTCCTTGTGGTCTGACGGAGGGTATTGAGATCATTTGTCTGCTGCTGTTTGTGGGAGATGTCATCCTCAAGGTAAATAGGACTGATACTGGAAGGTGGACCAAAACATTATACACAGAGAAGTATAACAAGATTTAGGTTGACTGCATAGTGTCTCTTTTTCTCTTTCCCCTTGAGTTGTAGTCTAGGTTTTGTCTGGTTATATTCGTCTCATCTTTCTCAGTGTGTACCCTATTCATTTCCATTTCCTTTTCTTCAAATCAGTGGAACTTCCTTCTTGACCTGTTCTTTTCCAAAGTTCTTTGTTGCTTATCTTGTTGCTAACTATGTGATTTAGAAGGCAGCTGAAGTATTGCATGTTGTGATTGATTTACTATACTCTAAGGACATCTTATTTTTCTGAAAATTACTGGTGGTTATGAGATGTACAGGTATTTCACATCAGATGAAATGCTTGGATTCTCTTTTTTAACGTCAAATTTTTATTTTTTTTTCTTTGTAAATTACTAGTATTTACTGATTTATTTAGATTCCCAGAAACAAAATTAAAAATCAGAGAAAATGTGGAAGGTACTTTCTGCTGTGCCTGCACAGTACTGTGCTGCCGCCTGCTGAGGAGCATGCTTACTAACATGATCAAACTGATTTCAGAGCTACTTCAAAGGTCCAGAAGTCCTGAAGAGCCCCTGGGTCATCTTGTACATCTGTGCTCTGCTAGTGTCTGTGGTGGACTGGACAGTGTCCATGATATACTTTTGTAAAGAAGTAAGTGAACAGTGCCTTCTTTCAGGTTTTTTCAGAAAACGTAAAGTTACTCATTAAAATTATATTACATTGGCTCATTAAATTGTTAGTCATGTTGTAATCGAGATAGAAAAATGTTTAGCTTGAGGATATTGTTTAGCATAGAAATTACAGTTTTCTTTTCTGCAGACAGTAAAGTTGATATCTCGAGAAATTCAAGAGTGTTAACTATGTGTTAGAGTAGTTGATCTATTTTCTTTTTTCTTTTATGTTTCAGATTGTAAGAGTAAGGAGATATATAAGACCATTTTTTATTCTTCAAAATAGTTCTCTCATGAAAAAGACTGTCAATTGTTTGAAGAAAACTCTGCCTGAAATTATAAGGTATTTGTTTGCTATTCACTGGATATTTATGTATAATTATTTGAAAGTAGATATTATATTGGGAGATAGTATATTTGGAAATATTAAATTGTTTAAAGAATGTGTAAATGTTTTAAAGTACTGCACTGTTGTAATAATGTGTGTTAGGAACCCTGAATTGTAGCTCATTCAGATACTTGTATTTTTGTGCAGACTATTTCATTGTGAAGTGGCCTTGCTTTGAAAGTATATATTTGCTGATGTATATTTGACATATTCCAGTATTCTGGTCCTTTTGGTGTTCCATGTGTACTTTTTTCTGTTGCTTGGAATGCTGCTTTTTACTGAGGTAAGTGCTGCCATCTACTGTGTAGGTAAGTGCTGCCATCTTCTGTGTAATAATGCCACTAACATGGTATTTGGTCAGTTTTAGATGCATGTTCCTGTAATCCAAGTTTAATTTTGATAATTACGTGCTTATGCTTATGTTTTGCTACATGAAAATGATGACTGTAAGAAGTAAAGGAAATACTGTGAAAATGCCGAAATTGTAGAATGCTGTAGAATATTGCCTTTTTTTTTAGGAATATGATCCTATCCCAGCAAATCCAAATGGAACTGATCCAGAAGGGGTAGGTTATTGCATATTATTTTCATAAATATTTGCAATAAAATCTATTAGATTGATGGTCATACTGATAAATGCACTATGGGGAATTCTGCTGTCTACAGCCTTAAATGAAGAACATGCATCCCTGCTAAAAATAAAAAGCAAAAACATCCAAATTTGATAAGCGTTTTGTATATTTCTGCCAGAATTTTCAAAATGTAATGTACGTTTGCCCATATAAGACATTAGCAGAAAGTGCCTTATATTTGTTAGCGTTATGATACAAGTAAGTTGTGCTAGTTGCTGTTTACAGCCTGTTCAAGGTGGAATACCATGGACCAATATCACTCGCTACAAAAGCATTTATGATATTGGTAAAGCTTTAAAAGTACTGAACATACTGCTGACCACTGCAAACCATCCAGATGGTGAGTCACTCAGTTTTCAACAAATTAACCACAGTTCCTTGTGGACTTTCTCTCAGTACAGGCCGTTCGATCGCAATATGAAGATTGAAATATTTTTGCCATTCTAACCAGCCGCCCTCCAACAGCCATTTTGTTTTCCAGCTTAGAGCAGTTTGACTGTAGAACAAATAGGAATGAAGTATTCTGCCATTTCCACTGCTGTGTATGAAGTGGTACCCTCCTAATCACCAGGCTTTGCTTTTTGACTCTTTCAGCCTGCAGCCAACAGCTCCAGAAATGGCTCTAGTGCATTTATTGAGGATTTTGAAGCTGGTTTAAAGAATTTGTTGGTGCTTATTACCACAGCTAATCATCCTGATGGTAAGTTAGGATAAATGGAAAGCAGCTGAAATTTTGCTTTGCTTGTTAACCTTTAGGAAGTCATGCCAGAATGATTTACTTTTGTGATTTGTGGTTGATATAAGGGTTGTTCTGACAAACTGTCTTGAAAATGTAACACACTATTTCTAAAGATGGAGGAAGACAACTGTAAGTAAGCTGAATCTGCAAAACTATTAAGTAATGAAAAGTCCAAAAGGCATTACTTAAAAAGAATTTAAATGATCACATAATATGTATTATTACTGCATGACTGATGGTTTTAAAATATAAAAAGACTTCTTTCATATTTGAATTGGCATAAATAAGATCTGTGCATAAAAGGAGACTTTCTTTATTTTCTCTTTTCAGTGATGATGCCTTTATATAACTACAACAGGTTTTATGTGTTGTATTTCATAGTGTTTTTAGTTATTGGTGAGTAAGTGATAATTTCTTTTTTAACAAATTTAGATTTTAACGTCTTAGCAGTCATTGAGAAGCTATAAGATATAAGTTACTTCTTAATTTTGTTGCTACATGTTTTGCTTGTCTGAAAACACATGTATTGGTTATAGTCAACATGATGAAATTATATTTTAGTTCTTAGAAAGTTTTGTGTGACCTGTTTTTTATATCTTTCCAGGCTTATATTGCTTAATGAATATGCTGACAGCTGTGATATACAATCATTTCAGAGGGTACTTCCTGGTGGGTCAATTATTGGGAAAGATTGAATTAAATTTGTGATAAACCTCATGGCTTGGGTTAGAATAATTGCATATTTAGAGAAAAAAAATTATATTTTGGAAAAGTTATTTTTATGTTACTAGCCAAACACTTTTTAGATACTTCCTAAATGTTTTCTAAATGTTTTCTAAATACTGATCTGATATACATAAGAGATATCAGTTGTCTTGGGCCCCATTCAGAACAGTGGACTAACTAGTCCAAGGGTCAAATATTGCCGACCTACTTGAATACTTCCCCACGGATATCTATTTATTGTCTATTAGCAGATTAGATGGCAAGCTTTGTAGTGGGTTGCGATATTTGACCATCGGATTATTCTGAATGGTCCCTTGGTGACTTCAATACATGTATATGCGTTGTCCATTGTTGCAGGATTCCATGCAGTCCAGTCACTTAAGGCGGTGTGTGGGAATAAGGGCAGCTTACGAGGTGCTACATGCTAGGGAGAAGGCTCAACACAGGTAGGTCTGAGGCTTGCACTTAGGATACTGGACAAGTACTGACCACTTCAGAGATGTTTTAAGAAATGGGATGTTTATAACATATCTGCAAATGTCCGTTTAGTTAACTGAACCACTTAGGAGTCTGCCATCTTTCAGATATGGAGTCTCAGTTCCTCTGGCTCGTCACACTATAGAAGGCGCGCGGATAGCAAAGTCTACAAAAAGAGAGATGTTGAAGGTGAGGTCAAAATGGTTTCTTTTTCTCAGTCAAGCTGTTCTGTTGGTCTTGAATTTAATCTATCTTTTGTAATTTATTAGCAAACCAAAGCCATTTCTGCAGCAGGTTCTTCTAGAACCAGACCTTAAACTTACTTCATGTTTTCTTATTATCAGACATGCTGAAACTGTCGATCCAATCGGTCATGACAGGGAACATTTGTCTGGACGGGTAAAAAATTGGACTTGGTCGGTCCAAAGGACTGACAAGAGTTTTAAGAGCAGCAATTTTGAATTAACAGTCATCATTCTAACATACTTCACTAATAAAATTATATAAGACCCAAAGCGTTTTTCCATTTCAAACCTATCACATTCACAAACAAAGTAAGCTACCCTAATCGTACTGGTAGTAGGTCTGATAGTAGTAGTATCTGTCTCAAACGAATAGGGTGATTTTCGGTCCGACAAAAATCCAATCAGCCCGGCAAATTTTTCATTACTGCCAGTCCAAATGTCCGGCCATTCTGAAAAGTTTTCAGCATGTCTGCATTACGTGACCTTGTGAAATGTTGCATACCTGTAATTAAGTGAATTTTGTGATTGCCGTAAAGGAATGTAAACAGTTTTTTTTTCAATAAACTCAGTCTCTGTTTTTTTAGAATGATGCTCATAAACAATAACATAATTAATCTTATGATAAAAACGATAATAACAATAATAGTAATAAAAATTAAAATAAAAAATAATAGGAAAAATATTTTTCAGGAGCTCAATGTGAGAACGGAGGAGTATCTAGACCACACAACTTTCCATGCTATTTGTATTATAATGGAGAAGGGGAAGAAAAGCCAGAAAAATGTAAATCTCAAGATATTTATTGCTGTTTGAACAAACAAATAATGTTTAATATATTTCTTGATGCAAGCACAAAGGAAGGCGTAGTTGTTAGATACTAAACTGTACGTCATTTAGTGTTCATTAAGAAAAAAATTGTTGATTTTTTTCCAAACTTTGGAATCTCATTACATAAAAGATTCTATAGAAGACAGACATGAGTCTTATAAATGGTTATATCTTCTTTGATCTCGTCTTTTTTAATTGTATATTTATTAATATATTTATTAATACATTTAGATGTTTATTAAATTGGTGTAATGCTTGATTTTCAGAAACCTCAGATGACATTCTGTCAAAATGCATGTCTGAATATTCTCCAAACCATTGTCACTCACCGATTCTTCACGTATTTTGGTCTCCTGGTCACATTAGTGAATGTAGTGCTGATCTCAGTAAGTACAGTCTGAACTGCTTTGGCAATAAATTACTTGAACCAAGGTATGGTAATGGGAAACTGGTTGATTTGAAAGCTTACGGTATACATACCTATGTAGGTGATATGTGACCTTGGTGATATACACTTTATTATAAATCTAATTTTACCTTTGAAGTACTGATAATTCACTTAAAAAGTAACTATGTACACTGCACTGCCCAGTCTTGGTTCAGTCATTCTTTTCATGCTTTATTTATGCACGTGTTGTTTGTAATTGCAGATAGAACTTTCTACACAGTATGACCTGATAGTGCACTCTCCAAATACAGTCTTGGCAGTAAGTTTCTCTTCTGAACTTATAGGAGAACATCATTTTGTGGGACTTCAAGTGATCAAATTGTGCAGAAAACCACTGTAAATGACCAGAAGTTGTCATTTTATTCATTTTTGTGCTGTGTAAAGTGAAATTCTCCTTCATAGGCTTACACAGTAAATTATAAGCCAAACTGAATTTTTTTAAAATTTGATTGTGAAATTAACTTAAACAGATTTTAGGTATTTCTTTAATATTTCCTTTCAGGTGATCAATCTTGTCTTTATAATCTACTACACAGTAGAGCAGGGTCTAAGGCTGTGGGCTATGGGGTGGAGAGTGTACTTCAATCATGTTTCCTATATCTTTGATGGACTAATCACTGTCATTTTGGTGGTAAGTAGAAAATTTGAGTACATCTTAGCTTCTTAGGATTGACTTTTCAAATTCATGTTGGTGTGTTTTTTTAGGCTCTAAAGTAATTGTAAGGAATGTTCAAAGCAAATCACATAAATATTATAAAATGTAAACAATGATTAAATTCTCAGCATTTTTATCCATCTGCTGTTAATTATTAGGCATTGTTTGACAAATAAGTAGTCTTTTAAGTTTTTTGTACAAATGTGAATCTCTAAATTCTCTTTCTTCTTTTTTTTTGGGGGGGGGGGGGGAGTGTCAGTGTCAGGAATCCCTAATTGTAGAATATGGGGCGATTGCTTACTGTTTTTCATGTAGGACACTGTCTATATCAAAACTATAACAATTATCACAAGTTGATAAACCAATGTAAACACAAAAGTTTAAAGCTGATGCTGGTTTCTCATTTCAGTTTTTAGAAGTCACTTTTCTTATCATATATGGACTCCCCAATATTGAGTAAGTAATTTTGCACTAAGGAGCAGTTACTCAAATGTGTTTTCATTTTAGGAGTAAATTATTGAAATATGCTTCATATGTTATTTTTTAATAATCATCAAAGTGACTCTTTTGCTTCTAGTTATTTAGTAGGTTAGAAAATTGTTTTAATGTTAATTTTTGCATTTTTTATTTGTGTAGAAAAATTAACAAGCAGGCAGTTTATGAAGATGACCTCACAATGTGGGACCTAGTACGGGTCATCAACATTCTCATCATACTGCGCCTGTTCAGGATCATCCCAGAGTTCAAGGTAAGAACCATGATATAATATCCTCATCATACTGGGACTGTTTAGGATCATCCTAGAGTTTAAGGTAACAACTATGGTACAGTATCCTAACCATACTGTTTAAGATCATGTACTTTTTTGTGGTCGCGGAGGATATTATAAGAAAAGATCTGAAATCCATAGCACAATAGCCAGAAACTTCATATCCCTGATCTAAATAAATGGCAGATGGGCCAGACACCAAGATGTCTTCCTGTGCCTGCAGACAAAGTGGAACCAAATTATCCAGTAGAAAAAGGGTAAAAATTGAGATGATTCCAAGCAGTACATAATTATGTTAACGAGGTGAGCGGTCTATATCTATTTCTTAATCTAGTGAAAAGTCTCAGGTTGAGACATTGGTTTGTCTTTGACCATGACCCATGGATGGTGCATGTAAGTTCCAGAATTTAATTTGTATATATTCCTGATAACATAGGAAGTCATAACATGTCTGCTTTTTGATATATATATATATATATATATATATATATATATATATATATATATATATATATATATATATATATATATATATATATATATATATATCAAAAAGCAGACATGTTATGACTTCTATTTTCCACTCTTATTCCAGAGCATGTCTCTTGTAGCCAGCACTTTGGGGGATCTTTTTGTCAATCTCCAAGCTTTTGCAGGAATATTGCTGGTCAGTAATATCATCATTCTCAACATAGGCCATAAGTGTGGAGTTAATTTTTTTAAAGATTAGTGTAAAGCATATACTGTGTAAGTATATGAGTTCAATCATATTTTGTCATCACAAACATCATGTTTACAAAATGTTCTACCACACATACATGAATGTTTTGCAATGTTCTATATGAAAACAATATTTTGCATTTCTTGTTACAGGTCATATATTATTTCTTTGCTATTCTTGGAATGGAGCTGTTTGCAGGAAAGTTGGAACCTGCTCAGTTAGAACCCATGAGAAAGTACTTGGATTTTTTCTTTTGTTAAACACATGAATATTGTAGAGAAAATGTTCACATTGTAGTGTATATTACAATTAGTTTTCAACTTATGAGCTAGATGCTTTTTTATTTGAGATTTTTATTAAAATTGTATCACATTTTAGATTTTTATGAGATATTTGAAGTTAGTAATTGTGTTCATAAGAATATAAAAGGATTATTATGTTAATATTCTAGTCAATGTGGAACCTATGCTCAGCTCAACTATTGGGGAAACAATTTTGATGATTTTGCAGTAAGTGGAAAATAAGTTCTATTTGTACAAAAAATAACTTACAAAAGATAACTTTGTATAGCTTCAGTAAATATAAATACTGTTTAAAGGCATTGATTATAGCCAGAAAGTACATATCACCATACAATACCGCGCAATCTTACCATACAGCCCCTCCATGTATGGATCAGCGAATCCTTTATCTCAGTTTTTTCTTCTTTTTTATGTACAGACACAGATGTGTCTGTACATATAGCCATCATCTGCGTCTGTCGTCGCCGTCGCCGTCGCCGTCGTCGCCGTGCACTTTTACCGATAACACGATAAGTGGAAAACTGTTTTTTCTTTTGGCTTGAAACTTACAGAACTGATGAATATTCATAATACGCAGGTCAAGTTCGAAAATCAGCATGATCGGGTCACTTATAGGGAATTTATGCTGTTTTTTCACTTTTTTCAGCATATATGCAGCACCGATAACACGATAAGTGGAAAACCATTTTACCTTTTGGCTTGAAACTTACAGAACTGATAAATATTCATAATACGCAGGTCAAGTTCGAAAATCAGCATGATCGGGTCAATTATAGGGAATTTATGCTGTTTTTTCACTTTTTTCAGCATATATGCAGCACCGATAACACGATAAGTGGAAAACCATTTTACCTTTTGGCTTGAAACTTACAGAACTGATAAATATTCATAATACGCAGGTCAAGTTCGAAAATCAGCATGATCGGGTCAATTATAGGGAATTTATGCTGTTTTTTCACTTTTTTCAGCATATATGCAGCACCGATAACACGATAAGTGGAAAACCATTTTACCTTTTGGCTTGAAACTTACAGAACTGATAAATATTCATAATACGCAGGTCAAGTTCGANAATGAAACGGTCTCCAAGTTGAACTTGTTCAGTGTTTTGACCATCCAAATAGAGCTTTCAGTTTACAACGATATTTTGTTTAGATTTTGACCATAATCTGTGCTTTGGCAATCTTTCGGCCTCTGTCGTCTGCGCCAGATAAAATCAAAATGTTATGTTAACACGTCGTTTTCCGCTATCAATATGACCCATACCTTTTGTATTATAAATCCATGTTCGAAATATGTTATCATTTTCCCTCTAAGCTTTGTCAAGTGAAGGTTTTAGTCCATACTAAGGGATAGGTCCGAAACTGATACCTCCATGACTATAAATTAGGAGATAATGGAATGGACATTGTCAAAGGTGGTGAAATTAATGTACAATAAAAACATGGTGACAACAGCCTTTGTGCACACCATAATCAGTACTAAACGTAACATTACCTCTGTAATATGAAATATAATTACGATAATTAGGCATACACGTAATACCTATAATTTGTCGTTAACATTAGTTAAGCGACCCTCACATTATAACACAACTTTAACAACAGGTGTTTTGAGCCAGAAGCATGTTTTGTGACGGCCACTAAATTAGACAGAGACAGAGAAGGCTATTAGTATACTAGCAGGCACACCGTTGGCGTGAGTGGAAGCAGAGCTTGTTGGCTCTGTGCGTGAAGATATAGTACTAAAGAAGAAATATCGTGTTGGTATTGATCGTGTTGTTTCAAGGTACGTACCGTTAAACGTGTTATTGCGTTGGCCGGGTCATGATTTTATATGGATGTTGTTAGGGATGCAACTTGAACATTGGTGCAAATAGCATTGTTTTGTCGAACTAAATGTAGTCGCCTTTCAAACTTTGAAAATGATCCAGTTTCGTCATTTCACATCAAGGAAACTGGTTGTAATTTGCCGCTTATGGTGATTTGGAGCCGTAACACAAAATAATTTTAGATCAAAATTTGGTTTTGAATTATTGACAGAACTTTTGGTTCAATATTCAAGACAAGTTCGCTTTATCTTACTATGATACTGGATCTCTGTTGATCTAAAGCATAAGTCATACCTTTATTCTAAAAATACAGGAGCAATATTTTATGTTAGTGGGTCCCTACTAATTTATCATGGGTCTATGAAAAGTAATAATTTAGATCAAACTTGCGATCAATTTGTTTGTCTAGAGTTCTTTTGTGAAGACTGCCCTTGAGATAAAAATTATTAATGGTGTATCTGGCAGAGATAACGATGTGATTTTGCCTGTGGTAGTGAAAAAAGTAATATGCGGAAAGACGTCCATGAGAGCAAGGAGAGAAATAATTTTGGCACACATGTACCCCCTTGCAGAACAGACACATGCAAACACAGCAATGCCTTTGTGATAATTACAAACTAGCGAAAATAATTTGGATAATGCATAGAATCTGGGCACTGCTTTTATCGCGTTACGAAGATTACCCCAGGGAACAATCAGTTACCGACAAAAAATACAAATGAGTTTCGCTGGTCTTGTTAATTAGAAATATCCAATAATGAAGTCACAACATTAAAAAAAAGCCACTTTGTTACTTTGTTAATGCTCCAGGGCCTCGGGTTTGTAGTCCCATGTCGATGGATTCTTTCACATTAGTTTGAATCGAGACTTAGGCTTCGTTCACATGCAATGTCTATTTTCTAAATTCTATTTTCTATTCGCGCTATCTTATGATCACGGTCTGTGCACTGAATATCCCGCCGCGTAATTACTGGCAGCGCGAGCCAGTTACTTATAGTAACTTATAGTAACTGGCTCGCGCTGCCAGTAATTACGCGGCGGGATATTCAGTGCACAGACCGTGATCATAAGACATGCCGCAAATAGAAAATAGAATTTAGAAAATAGACATTGCATGTGAACGAAGCCTTATCTCCAGGCCCGTTTACATTGGAGATAGGTCGACATGTTTCGTACCAACCCAACCAAAGAGCCATGATTACGATTGGTTCACTACAAGAGGGCAATATAACGACACACGGCTTGGCTCAGTCTTAATGGCGATGGGTGGGATATTTGAGAGATTAGATCTGTTTTTTTTATTATTATCTGATGGTTAGAAATCGTACTTAGACGACAGCAGAACGGCACCTGCTAAGTTTGGTCTGCCTATCTCCAATTGGAAACAGCTTTATCATGGAATATATATATAAGTGTTTGGAGTAGGATTTACAAACAGTCACTTGTCTTAGATCTCGCAATAAATGGTTCGTCCATTTGCTGCCTACCGTTCATATTTTAAACCAAAAATGAGTCAAAGTTACAACGGACGCGATCAGGCCTCGCCAATCGTGCCACAGCACTGATCCCATTGCCCGTCAACAGCAGCAAGATTCCATCGACACCACGACGAAACTGCAACCTATCGTCTGCTTCTTTCAATTTAATTGATAAATATCTACTGCGTCTCTTGTAATCGCAAGCTTTACCGCGCCTCTATTTGTGCTAGGGACGTAGATGGAATTTTGGTCGGTTTCGGAAATCAATTTGTCTGTAGAGGCACGGGTTAATTGTACTCCGGGACATGGTTTTCAGTCAGATGACAGGTGTTGATAAAGGGTTTCGTTTTTCTTTTTGGAAGTCCCTTTTTTTCCCATTCGTCACTACCCAACGATGTTGTATACCCTTACTTTATTTGCAGATTCACGTAGAAAAATATCTGCGGCTCTGATTGTCAAAGGGCACAATGTGCTTCGCTTTGTTATAAAAGGCATACCTATGAAATATATACCTGGTAGTGATGTGGCGGTTTTTTGCAGGTGTTGATAATTACACGGTTGACACCGTTGAGGTGAGAAAATGTTATTGTTCTGCGTTTACTCGGCGGTCCTTGCACTTGCTGTGATACGTGCACATCCATTCAAAGTGTAATTCAAACAAATTTACTGTTGATAATGGAGAGACCGCTTCACCTCAAACACGTTCGGTTTTTATGGGATTTGAAAACTTCAAACATGAAGTGTTTTGGCCCATGTTAAATCAGTCGGCCACCGCAAACTCCCCTTTCTTTCGACAGAACCCGTACGTGTTCCGGCATATATTCAAACACTTTTTGCACCTGTGCGCTTAATCACAATACTGGACAGCTGTATAGAGAGTGTATATAAGTGTTGATGTTATTACAACAAACATTCGGACTAAAGAGTGACCATAACGTTAGACCTTTGACCGTTACGTTTGCCCTCCGGTCTGCTGTGTGAGGTGAATCAGCCAAGTGACTAGTTAAATAAATCATTTTATTAACTACTACTACTTCTACTACTACAGCTACTACTACAACAACTACTACTACAACTTCTACTACAACTACATGTACTACTACTTGTTAATACCATTATTATGTGTCTCGATTCATCTTGTGGACTCTCCTGGCCTTTGTTCGGCCAACCTTCCTTTCGTTTTTTGGTGTTTCTAGATTGAACAAACGTGAATAATACAGCAAATTCCACATTTCTCCCACCTTTCTTTCTCTCTCTCTCCACGGCTGCACTCTTAGATACATAAAGGATTGAACATTGTGATTCTCTAATAACATTTATGGCCGCCTTCCCTGAAATGTGTACAAAAAGAAACACTTGCTGTACACACACATGAAAACGGAGCCACAAATTGCCTAAAAGAAAAATATCTCATTCAACCGTAAGGGAAGTAATCACCAGAAAAGAAGCAAATCTTTCGGCGCGTGGTTATTTAAGACTTATTTACCTCGCTCGAGTAGACTTGATGTTTGCGCTGAGATTTCTCAATGAAAAGACGTAGGAAATAAGGCCAGTTCGTCAACGATGGCAAAAGCCACGTGAAAAGGGCGCACTAATCAGCACAAGGGATACATGAACCGAACTTAATAGCCTAACAATGGACACATTCGTTTTTTTCCTTTCTTTTTAGCGTGCAGGAAAGTTCTGAAAGACTGTTGAATGAATTTACTTACTGTAGAAATGAAATCAGGACAAGCGCTGTTTTATGAAAAGATTGTAATTGCAGAATCAGGGACCTATCGAAGCGTAGTTAATTCAGATATGAAATATAATTTATGTACTCAGCTCCAGGACAGAAATATCCGGATCTACATTTTAACAAAAATGTATTTAGTCGACATTGCATTGTAAATAATCTGGTGCAATCGTTGGACCGTGATGATAATTTGCTATTTCTTCATTTGTATTTCAATCATCTACATAAAACTTTCAGACTGTAATATTTGTTCGGTATATTCATCGACTGCAAAAACTGCAAGAGTTCTCGGGATAAGTTTATTACAAGTGCACAGGAAATTATTATGACAAAATAATTTCCGCGTTCATTATGAAATGTTATCTTTGGGGGCAAGGTGACCAAAAGTCATCAAGAAGCCATTAGTTGTTGTTCATTCGGCGAAATTCCCAGGCCACATTCAAACACTAAACGAATCACGTTAAACAAATTCTATCAAAATTCCATTTTGGAACCTTCAAAAACACGGCAGAACTTGTTATGATACGTAGTCCTTCTTTCATAACCTCCCCANAATTTACTGTGACCTTGAAATTGACCCTTGACCTACCTTACGAAGAACTTAAATTTGATTGTACCATATATTTTTTTTGCAGTAGTTTAAAAATTCTTGTTGATTGCATTTTTACAGCTTGTCAAGCACAAAACTGGTGGCTGTGTCCCTTATTTTGTGTATGTTGGGGTCTATATGAATGCGCTTGCTCCAGCTGGTGGTACAATATTCGGAGGCGGTATCGCCTCTCTGATCCTCTAGTTTATATATATTCTTGATGAAATATATATGCATCAAAAAGCTGACATGTTATGACCCTTATTTTCTCCTCATATTCCAGAGCATGTCTCTTGTAGCCAGCACTTTGGGGGATCTTTTTGTCAATCTCCAAGCTTTTGCAGGAATCCTGCTGGTAAGTAATATCACCATTTTCAACATAGGCCATAAGTGTGGAGTTAATTTTTTTAAAGATTAGTGTAAAGCATATTCTGTGGTAGTATATCGTATTTTGTCATGACAAACATCATGTTTACAAATTGTTCTACCACACATACATGTAGTTTGCAGTGATCTATATGAAAACAATATTTTGCATTTCTTGTTACAGGTCATATATTATTTCTTTGCTATTCTTGGAATGGAACTGTTTGCAGGAAAGTTGGAACCTGCTCAGTTAGAACCCATGAGAAAGTACTTGGATTTTTTCTTTTGTTAAACACATGATTATTGTAGAGAAAATGTTCAAATTGTAGTGTATATTACAATTAGTTTTCAACTTCTGAGCTAGATGCTATTTTATTTGAGATTTTTATTAAAATTGTATCACATTTTAGATTTTTATGAGATATTTGAAGTTAGTAAATGTGTACATAAGAATATAAAAGGATTATTATGTTAATATTCCAGTCAATGTGGAACCTATGCTCAGCTCAACTATTGGGGAAACAATTTTGATGATTTTGCAGTAAGTGGAAAATAAGTTCTATTCTTACAAAACATAACTTACAAAAGATAACTTAGTATAGCTTCAGTAAATATAAATACTGTTTAAAGGTATTGATTATAGCCAGAAAGTACATATCACCATACAATACCGCGTAATCTTACCATACAGCCCCCTATGTATGGATCAGTGAATCCTTTATCTCATTTTTTTTCTTTTTTTCTCCTTTTTTTCATTATAGAGACTTATGTGATAGTATTTCTTATCTGAAGCACAAACTGCAGACGAAGAGAAGCAGAGTCAATTCATATTTGAAGAAATGTATAATAATATGACAGATTTTAACTAATACTAGCATGTTGTGTTACATAGTATTGTAGTGTAATATATATTCCCTCTCTAGGCCTCCCTGATAGTACTGTGGGATGTCATGGTGGTGAATAACTGGTTTGTGTTCCTTGATGCTTACACAATAGCAACGGGAACAAGGTAATGACCTTCTTACTTTGTGACCTTCAAATGTGACCTTCGAGTGTGACCTTCAAATGTGCTTGAACAAAATGATGACTGAACAATGGTTAATCGAAGATGTATTTAGATAAAGGATGGAGGTTAAATATGTTTGAATAGAAAACACATGTATATGTTGTTTTAATTGAAATTTATGCAATTAGAAAAAAAGTTAAATTATTTAATAATGTGATGTTTTCAGGTGGTCACAGCTATATTTTGTTGTATGGTGGCTGCTGTCAGTGGTGCTTAGTCTTAACTTACTCTCTGCTTTGATTTTAGAGGTAGGTTTACTTCCCACTGAGAGTTTGTAGGAGGACAGTACAGTATAACTTATATATTGTTAAAACATCAGAAGATGATAGCTATCATTTATGAAAAACAAACTACAGTAAAATGTACTTATGATATCAGTCTCTAGTTATTCTTTTCAAATACATATGCTCATGAAAATTGTTACATAAACTTCTTTGTAACTTATGTGTATCGTATCATTTTCTTTTACACTTCAGAATTTTATAATGAAATGGGAGAAGAATCGAGAACGTTGGAGGGCCAGTGACCAGGAAAGATCAAGATCAGTGTCTGTGAACAGTATATCATTACAAGCCACGATATCCAGACCATTATCTGTACACGACATGTTTAGGTAGGTGGTTAATTCTTAGTTTTATTTTAACCCCAGGCACTGGGGGCTGAGCTGTGGCATGCAGGTGTCACACCCCCCGTGGGGCACACTATTTTCTCTTACCTTGAATACAGCTCTCAGTAATGGGTTCTGTTACAGTTTGTTATTTCTAGTTTAGTTGTCGACATTAATCTTTTAGCTGAAATTATTCTGCTACAAAAAGGGAATGCACCATGCAAACTTTGTTGTGAAATGTGATATTGAATGAAAACTATCCAAGTCTGATGTTTATGATGTAAAAGGAGAGAAATTTAAGAGTGAAATCCTATTTTCCAGGGATATGTTACAGGAACCAGAGGAAGAAGAAATGTTACAAGTCATTAATGAGCACAGATATCTAAGACTGTAGGAAAGACTGTGTGTCATGGCACAGTAAGTGGCTAAGTGTGCTGGACATGTAAGCTTTATCAGATCTTAGTCTAGAAAGGCAGGCTGGGAAGAAGAATCTTTTTAAGAAGTATCTCACAAAGATAAGATAATCCTGTGCCAGTAACTATGCACATATGACCATCTGACAATTGTCATTCTGTGTCACAAATATGCCTTTGTCAGAGTATCACTTTACTGATGACAAGCTATGCTATGAGATAATTAAAGGGCACTTGCCTCCTAGAGAGTTTACAGTTGCCACCCCCCTGGATGAATGCCCCCCCCTGGGTCGTTATACCCTCTAGGTCAGTGCCCTTAGAGGTTAATGACCCCTGTCCATAGCTTCTTGCAAAACATGTTTGTAGTGGAATTGTTTATAGGAAACATGAGCTCAGTGGAAGATAAGTAAGAAATATTTTCGCTTTTTTTTCGCAAGCTTTCTTGAACTTACCCAGGTTTTCATTGTTTGAATGTGGTCAGATGAAAGTGAGAAAATCTGACTTTTTAGAATATGTTGTCCAACTCCAAGGGACATCATACTAGTGATCAGCAATACAGATGTTTTATTGTCATTTTTTTAATGTTTACTGTTTGTTCAACTAAAACACTGAAAAACATTTGTTTTAGTCTGTGATAATTTGTAATGAGTTCATCCAGGGGGAAAACTTATCTTATTCACAAGCGTCGCTCTTCAAAAGATCTGCACCAATGCAATAAGGAGAAATATTTATTTTTCTGCACATTAAAATGTTATTAGAATCCATAATCATGCAAGTATTCAGAGTTCCATTGATCTCTCATCATCAAGGCAGGGTGGAGGATATCAGATAGCATGAAATGAGGGATAAAGCCTGGGGTTTACAGGCACTGTTGGGTCAAAGATATGGTATTGTAGAAATTTTGCGTTACAAATCAATAATAACTGAAATTGATATAATAAGTACACATTGACTGTTATGGCAAAATTTGATTATGCCTTCTTTATATTAAGAAATGGGACTGGGTACAAATAGATTTGTTGAGATAATATTTCATTTCATTTTGTTGACGTCATTGTATTTGTTGTTAACATGATTACAGGTTGTAAAGAAATGTGTAGCATAATAGATAAAGCTTGGATTTTAAGCTTGGTGGGACTCATGTTACAAATTCTGTGACTATGATGTTAAAAGCCTTTAATAATGGCCATATTGTGATTGACACATGCAGACACTTTGGTAAAATTTATGTATTCAAATAACATTCAACCTGTAACTTATACAGTTTTATTACTAGAAAGCCGTGCTAACCTTTCCTGCTCCAGAAACATTTGTAATCCCCCTAGGTACGTTAGGTGGCAGATCTGTGACAAATTTTCTCAATACTTAAAATTTCATTCAATATTGTCAGTCTAGATTACTCCATAACTTCTAGGTAGTCTCTTTTTCTTTGTATTATTCATTTCCAAGTAAAATTCTCCACATAAAAAACATCAGCTGCAGAGGGTGAAGTTGGTAGAGGTAGATTGTTCTGTGCAATGCTGAAACACAGGCCGAAACATTTATTGTCATTTTTGTCATATTACATTTCACATTTCTGAAAGATATTTTGAAAATAATGTCATGATATATATAGTACTTTCATCCTTAGAAATTCAGACACAACATATCGAAAAACTATGAATCTAATTTTATAATCATATTTAACATTAGAATACTCAATAATATAAATATTATTATTAATTTGATATTTCTATTGTGATTCTCTATGCAACTTGTAATGTAAAGAAGCATAAATTGAGATGATTGTATACTATTTTAAGATAATTTTTATCAAATGACATCATATTGTAGCCACATAAAATAATTATTAATTATTTCATGCAATTCCACTGTATTGTTTATTATGGATTACATCCACAGTTGAAACAAATTGTAGAAAACTTCTTATGCTTTCTTTAAACCAGTATTTGGTTCAAAATTGTGAAAAAACTTTTAAAGTTTTTTATTTTTTTATTTAACTTGACAAAGTGTTATGAAAAGAATCCATTAAAAATCTCCAGTGTTAACTGTCAAGGATTAATCCTGTTTACTCCCCCTTGGAGTGATGTGAGCTGAGGTTGGGTGGGTTACTCCTGTTTCTAACTACAAGAGCTGACGTAGTTTCACATCTTGGCACAATGGGCTCAGGTATAAGTTACATGCTGGGGATAAATGCAAACACTTTGCACTGTATCAGACACCAAATTGAAAAATGTGCCTGGAATTATAAAAGTTTCAAATTTGAATAATGACATTTGTTTTTTTTTCACCCTTTAGTTGTACTATAAGAGTAGTGATTTATTTCAATTAAGTGCAAAAAATCAACCACCTTATTGGATTTATTTTGGCAGTTTTTTTTAGCAAATCTCCAAAATCTAATCAAACTAAAATTGCATCTCATACAACTCAAGCACCTGATGACCTTCTTGCCATGCAATTTTAAAATTAAATTAAAAGAATTAACCCAGAAGTTCCCACAGTGCAATCATGCATTACATGCAATGTTATGATAGGGTCAACATGTTAACTCTGTGTTGTATGCCCAGCTCTCTCCATATTATCTTTCATGGCTTATTTCTCTTTAATTACCTATGTGTGAATGGGGATCATAATGGAATAGTTTGGCTCACAGAGAATGCCAGGATTACACAGTGTATTTATCTTCCTTACATCATCTAGGAGCTAATATACATCTCAGTATGGTGGGGCCTTATGTCATGTTATCTAATTATCAAGAAGAAGGTCTTGTATTTTGGAATGTGTAGGCTTGAAAGTCAAGCACTTTAAAATGGGACTAAAAATATTGAGCCACAGAATTCTTGGGGGATTTATGCCTGACTATTGCAATAGAAGGTAGTTATCACCTATCCATAATAGGTCACATATCTGGAGAGATTGAACAGTATCAGTGCTATTGGCAACCTCCACCCACCCACACATACTGTTTTGATTGCTGCCCAGTTACAACCTTTGGGGTAGCTGCCCAGGAGGGGGTCATTTTTCATGACCTAGCCCCTGCTACTTTTCTATTAAAAAAAACTGTTGTCACTGTATGTATCAGCAGAGAGCAAAACCGATCAGACATGATTTTTTTCCTGATTTTTCTGATATCCAATTTTTTCTTGGTGGTTTTTAGCCTTACAGTGCCCCTTGACCCTTACTTTTAAGGCCACTGAGCCCTTTTTTTCTACATTTATAATCAAAGTCATATTTGATTGGTGACAATTAACCAGAAATCATTATCAACTTTTCTTTACATTTTATCTTTATAACTGATGAGCTCTGATCTTGAATGAAAGTGTATTGTTATTGATACTTTGAGAAGGCAATAGGCATTTGGTCCAACCAGTTACATTTTAGTCCATTTCTGCTCTTTATCCTAGTGTAATTCCCTGATTAAGGGACAAGGTTTAAGTAGTGATCGCAGGGATTCACTAAACACAACATATATAATATCTATGATCAAATATTTTGCTTGCAAACTTCCCGTGGATAAGGTAGAAGGGGTTAACCAAGGCCTATATTTGGCAGCAATACAGAGATATAATATGTTGATGGAAGGGTGTGGGTTGAGTGTGGGCATTGGAGGTTTTATATCTGTTTGGAGAAGGTGTTTTTATGGAGGTCATGTATCTAAGGTTATCAATATATAAAGTTATAATTCACAGGCAACAGAAGTGGCTGTGGTGGAGATTGGTGGCATTTCAGTCTGGCCCTCGGTTCTTATCACGTTGGGCGCATTCTCATGCGGCGGTTCTGTCTCCCGCGACCACTCGTCTTCCCCCACTTAATCTGTATTGATCTTCATTCCAAAATGTCTAAACTGCCGTCTTATGTGTTGTTGATTCCTCCCAACACTGTCAACAATGATTGTGTATCCAGTGCACACGTGGGTGGACGCAAGGTGAACAACAGGCAATGAACAACTATGTCAACTTGGACATTATATTGACTGAAAATTTCTTCTTATTTTTCTTTTTAGAAAAACAACATTCCTTGGTACACGCACACCAGCTTAGCTGCATGGAATTCAGTTAATTGTGCACTTAAAAACACAATAGAAGATTGATGAAATTTTAAAGAAATAACTGAACTTTGGTACTGTAAATTCATGGTAAGAATTTGTAATGGGGCTGGATCCAATAGACCTGAAGTTTGTTACATCCAGCTAAAGTTCAGTAACCAGTAATCACGGTGGAAATGTGATTTAACTTGCGGTGGGAATGTTGAGAGGGAGCAATAGGATTTACAAGGACAAAAACAAATTTGGTGTTACATTGAACTTTTTCAGATACCTCATTAAAGTTCAGTTGCAAAAAAAGAGAAAAAAACTAAGAGTGATCAATGTATTGTTTTTGAAGATTTAAGTTCAAGTCAGGGAATTCATTGCATTCCTTGGTGATAGTGTTTATGAAGTGTACCATGTACATAAATATATTAGTAGGGATTAAAACTGAAATAAACCTTTAGGTCTAGACTTTTGAATCTATTGGCCAATACGTTACTTGACAATTGCTATGACCCCCCTCTTCCCTGCCCCCAGACACACTCATCTGAAGAAACCATGTACCTCTAGCAATTAATTGCTCTTTTGAATAATCCTTTGAAAAAGAGGTACTGGGTACATGCACTCCTTTACTTCAAAACTTCAACCCTTTTCCATCATTTATAACCAGACAACATATATTTCACTCATATTAATATTGTTAATAAGTACTGTCTCGCCTTTGCTTCTGTAACTGTACTATGTGTCAGATGTGGTCTAATCATCAGAAAATTATGTGTTTTGTAAAGGTGTGCAATAGGTACCAAATTAACATGAAATTTTACCGATTTCATCCCCCAGTATATCTTTATTGTGAAGACAAAATATCTTGTACTCATTTCCCATGTAACATTTTTTTAGTTGACTGTAATAAGCAGCTAGTGATGTCAAAATGCCACAAATTGACAATGGGGGCTTTAATCCTGATTTCAGTTGTACTATGTGTAGTTCAAACTGAACTGTCCCCAGTGGTCCATGGTCAGACAATGTATTGCCAGAGCTGTATTATATAGATATAGCTGACTTTCACTGCTGGGTTTCCAGAGGTTTAGACTGTTGTTGACTGCATATACAGCCTGAATGTTACATCTTTATCATTACATAACAGGAAAAACTATCAGCTTCGTATAATTTTTTGTGCCAAAAATGACTTTATGAATAAATAGTAAAAATTCAAGTGTTGTTTTATCTTTATGTTTGTCGTTCTAAGTCAAGTGACAACTGAGAAAATGAGAAAAGGTTTATAATTGTAAATGGTTAATAAGTCTACCATATTAAGAGAGGTTTAATAAAAGGTAAATTCCGATGCACTGAGCACACAAGATGAGGTTTACCACCGTGGAAAATGTTTTCTTGTGACCAACGTTATACTATGGTTTTCTTGGCTCACTAAAGAGCTTCAAATAGGTTGTATGTGTAGATAAAAGAAACCACAGCACATTTTCCAAGACTAGAATTGCAATTAAAAGTGTGACGCAATGGTATATTATAAATATTCATGATACAAGAAATATCCCATGTTTCAATTTGGCAATAGAGCTTTGGACATATGCTATTTTAATGAGCTTTAAAAAGCAAATTTCCATGTTGGGATGGTAAGTGGGGGCATGGCAGTTATATATTTTTTTACTTTCGTGTACTTTATCCTTAGCGATATGGGTCAACAGCTCCAATAGGGTTCTAATCCATCGAGTCAACTGACTTAGAAGGTGCGCCTTCTGCCTTAAGTACCCATGAGTTTTCTAGTTGGGAACACCTCCGAAGATATGACATATCCATATTTGAGTATATGGATTATTTTTTTTAACCATAAGCTGCTTTATCTTTGCAGTTTAATCTCCAATATCTTCTTCATGGGAAACAAGTTTACACGAAGGCATGTCGAGATATTGTGGTTATTAGCTGTATAATAACTGCTGGTTATTGATATGTGTTTGTTTGGACAAAAGTTAGCCTTCTGACACTGTGGTTGCAGATCACTGTTATTAAATTCCTATGGGAAAAATAAGGTTGGCAAGAAATGAACTCTTCAAGTTTCGCGGATGATTGATGTTGCTATATCAATCTGTCAGTAAGTAATCAAGTCGCCAGACAGACAGGTAGACAGATAGGCAGTTGAACTATGCACACTTAGTTTTCAGTCAAGCAAGAGCATTTCAGAGATAGCCACCAAACACCAAATGGCTGTCTCTTCTGGCAAAACCTATTAGATGTATTTGGGAGAAATAGTTTGGGTTTTAGGGGTTTGGGGTTGAGGTCAGGGAGATTTATTAGAAGAGAAAGGGGGGCAATTATTTGCACTGAAGTAATCTTAACAGCTTATTTTCTCCTGGTCTCTCTTTCTTTACCTGCTCCTCACTGTAGATTAAGAGGCTAGGGCTTAAGTGTGCAGGAAGTTTGCTAGTCAAATCGATTGATTTTCTCTTGGGTTAGAGATTATAAGACATTATCATGCTTCGGCACTTACCTCCTCTATTAACTAACCTAGTTCAAGTCAACACACACCTCCCTAGCAAACACTACTATTTACTGCATACTTAGGATTGGATGATATCAAACATTTTTAGATGGAATGCTCAGTTGTGGTTAATATATAAATTTTTCCATCCTATATTTCTCTCATCTCTAGCCTAATCTCAACCACAATTTTAGTTTCCATTTCCCTATCTGTGCCAAGCCTTTATCTCAAGTGGTTTACTGGAAGTCCCTATCAATTTTTCTCAGAAAAGTAAATAACCTATATCTTGCTGACAAGCAGTTCTTGTGGTTCCTGCTCACAATCTATGCTAATTTTTACCACTCTCCATTTGCCATTCACTCCTATGTAAAACATCACCCTTGGACCTGTTATACATATATGAGATGTCCCAGTGTCACCCAGTGCAACTTGCTGTAGCTTAAGTCACCATATTATGAGTTGATTGCATATACCTTGTACAACCAAACGGCTTTCTGCAGGTACAGCCAAAACAGTAATGACAATGTTCTGTGTTCTGTTAAATTTTGCATGTTTTCACTTTTTAAATATTTTTACAAGTCTTGCAAATTTTTGAGAGGTATTTAAAATTTTAAAAAATATTTAATCCATTCACCAAAGAAGTAAAGCTTTAAGAGGAACAATCTGAAGCATAATATAGTCTCAATTCTACATATTTTTGGAAGCAATATTCATTTAAAGTGGCATTTTTCTTTATCAGGAATAATTATACCCACCGAACTCCTAGAGGTGGTCTTTTAACTGTGAGATGGTCTTTTTAAACAGAGAGGCAATTACATTTTCGATATTGAATATTACAATTCTATCATTTTCTTTCATTTTACATGATGCATTATGTATTTAATGTATTATTCCAAAGTTTGCCAAATTCCCATTCCCCGTGAATGTCAGCAAGTGTCATTTCCCAGCAATATGTCAGTTGTCTAGACTCAACAGTTACATTTGTTATTGCCATACAAAAATAAGATATCCTTTCAAAATATTCCCATTTCCTTTCCTTTTCCTTTCATATATAAAAACACTTTGCTAGACAAGTAGAAGCGTCTTCAGGCACTTATTAATAGATATCTTTAGTACTAAGCAGTGAGTGCTCACTTAGCACCTTGTACTCTTCTAAGTCTTTTGTTTACAACAACTCGTGGAATTATGGGATAGATTTGATTCTTGCAGAACAGTAACATGTGTTAAATGAAGTTTTGAGTAGTTTGTATAAATTCCTTAGTGAGTCACAACCTGTTCTCATTGAGTGGAAGCTACAATAGTACTGTTTCACCAACATACCAAGCATTTATGATAATAAAGTTTGTAATGGCTGAATGTGTTGAATGAAAACTTTTGCGGAAGTGGATATTATGTCTGCGAGGCAGCAGACACAGCTTCCATTGAGAAAATTAAGCGACCATAGAAATGGTGGATCACATGCCCTTCACTGCATTTTTTTCCCTTTATTCTCAAGGAGAAAACTCTACTTACCTTAAAACTTTCTATTATCTTTTCAAGTTTGTGCTGACAATACATATTTTTGCTAACACTGAAAGGGAAAACTAATTAATTCAATATTAGCGGCAAGTTGTGAGGCCTCAAATTTCACAATGCTCCCCTGTTTTGATGAGGCTGTAAAGCTTGTGTAGTAAAATGCATAAATAAAACCATAGTAAAAAATATAATTTGGCAAATGATATACTACACACTTGGCATGTTTTCATAATCTGGTGTCATTTTTTTCTTGTCAATAATTTCTTTTACATTTAAGATCATGTGATACACTTATCATAGTCATGTTAACTCCAGAAACCCCTTCACTGGGAGGGGCTTAGTTAGCAACAGGGTGAACCATCTTTGCATCTGCCCTGAGTAATGGAACTTCAACAGCTCATCATGTGCAGGTGTTCTGAAAAATCTTGTCTCTCTCTGGACCAATCAGAGTGCAGCATGCCTGCACAGCCCTGTGTTGGTTTTGTTAATTCCTCCACATTATAGATAACTGTAACCTGACAATCAATTCATCTGCAAGGATCTGTTGACACAGGCACGTGCCATCCAGGCCTTAATTACTGCGGCAGTCCTCGGCATATGGTTCTTCCCCAGTCTTCAGCTGTGTCCTCACCACTGGCTGATTGGTCTAAATGAGAGGAGGCGACACCCTCTTTGTGCCAACATGTGCCTGCTCCCCAGATGTAAACACCCCCATACAAGACTTCTTTTGTGTAGCTTTAATCGCAGACATGCTATATCTTACCACTTTTATTTCAACAAAATTGATATCTCCTTTGTGATTTTTTATTTTAATTTTATTACCTGAAAATATAGGAACCGTGCATTTAAAGAGAAATGTGATCTTTATGCTTTTATTTCAAATTAAATTTTCATCTGCTCTTTTGAATTTTTTAATGCCCTGTTGCATGTCATAAAAAAAAACCATTTTTAAAAATTCAAATAAAAAATTATGATGAAAAAATTTTAATGGTCAAACATTTACATGTAGATAATAATTCTAATTTTGATGGGATTTTAAATTTTTAAAAAATCATTTCCACCTATAACAGATTTTACAGATGTTCTATCAGCATCATCTGGCAGACAGTGAAGGTATCTCATTTCCTAGGACAGTGGTGCAATGAGGGATGCCTGCATCTGCCCCCTCAGGCAGGGACGTGTCCAGCTAGTTTATATTGTGTGAAGCTATGTCAGCAGAGAAAGTGTGACAGAAGGGACAGGTGACAGGGGGCCCTTCACCGCTTTCCAAGGAGGCCAATTAACGACCAGTCGGAATATCAAGGAAAATGATTGTGAAGCTGTCTTTGTGTCAAGTGTCAAAAAACACCTGACTGGTGAACCAAGGGACAGCTGAAACTTAATGAATCTACGTAGCATCACTTGATTTCAAAGGAGTGTACGGGCATGCAGGCGTGCACATTTTCTGAAATTACAGACTCTTGGAAAATGTATAAAGTTGAATAGTGAAAAGCAGATGTTTATGGAAAGAATACTACTCCGTCACCAACAAAGCCGCCTCTCTCTTCATTGTTTAGTTTTTGTCTCATCTGATTAGTGTGTCTGAAGAACAAAGCAGATGATAAGGCCTCGAGAAGTGAAGTTGTGCATAAAATATCCAATCATCCACTAAACACAAGGATGTTTTTCTATGCTGCTGACTTAGGTGATTGTTTTCTGTGGGGCATGTGACCCACCAGTTGCATGGTACTTGATAAAAAAACGTGGAATACAGATAAAAAAGAAATACATCTGCTTAAGAAAAACATAGCACTCCTAAAAACATGCCTACCACCTGTCTTTGGAAATTATAAATGTAGAAAGTAGAATTCGGTTTGAAGTGTTTGTTTAAAACATACTTTTAAGTATTATTTTTCTGTCTAAGATTACAATGTCTGAAGTAAAGCAGACACATTGTCAGCATATCTTTGTGATTTATTGAATATCAAATTTTCTTAAACTTAAAAAAAAATAAAAAGAATTTTAAAATATTTCAGCTTTTTTCCTTTTTGTATGATGGCATTCAGTCGTGAATATAATTTTGCAGGTGAGGGGAACATCAAACGTCTGAAATGATAGGAAGCATTCTT